TATATATATATATTTTTTTTTGATTAACTTTGTCGTCTCAGTGATTTTATTTTAGCATGATAACACGAATGAAAAAAGTGCAAGGTTCCGTAATAATAATAATAATAATAATAATAATAATAATAATAATAATAATAATATATTTTTTATAAAACGTTCATCGTCATTGGTAAATAATCCGAAATGTAATCAAAAAAAAAAAAAAAATTAGAATCAAAGATAATAATGCAAACAAGCAAACAAAATTTCAAACCGGAAACGCGGAAAAAATAAAATGAAAATCGACTCTCATTTTTCAAAAACCCGAAACATGTTTACCAACCTTTCCTCCCGGATGCCCCAATTAATAATGACGTCCTATAGAAATTTCTAGATTTTTTTTTTTTATTTTCCACCCTTTTGTTTCCTTTCCTTTAATTAACATACGGGATTAAAAATAAAATTTTAAAATGAAAAAAAAAAAAAAAAAAAAGATTTTTCGGGGGAGGGGTGGAGGTTCGCGACAGAGAGTAGTGAAGAGAAAAAAGAAGAAGCAGAAGAAAATAAAAAAAAAAAAAATTAAATAATAAAAAGTTTTTAAAAAACACTTAACTTATTGTTAAATTGAATTCATAAAACTTTTAAATGAACTTTCTGTTTAAAAAAAAAAACACGACAAAAATATTAAAAACAACAACAACAACAACAAAAAATTTTTTTCTTGCCATTTCCGGTTTTAAAAAAATTTTTTTCTTGCCATTTCCGGTTTTAAAAAATTTTTTTTCATTTCTTTTCAAGTTTTTTTTTTTTTCTCGAATTAATAACAATGATGATGATGATGATGATGATGTATTGATGATATTAACGTTTTGTTCGTGCGTTTTTTTTTTTTTTAAATTAAATTAAAATGGCGCGAATAATTTAATTACGTCATCAGTCTTTTTTTTTCTTTTCAATACGATTATACTATTATTATTATTATTTTTTTTTTTTCTATCGTTAACTAATAAAACTATTAAAAACAATTACTAATTACACGTTAAATGAAATTTGAAATATATAAATGGTTTTCGATCACATACGAGATAACAAACGTGAAATAGGATTTTCCAAAGTGTAAAAGACAAAACGTCATTTCATATTAATAATAATAATAATAATAATAATAATAATAATAATAATAATAATAATAATAATAGTAATAATAACATTTGGAACTAAAAAGATACGGTAAATAATGCGGAATTAAAAGAGTAAAATATTGTTCACGTTAATAATGTTGAAACCTTTAATCTTACACCTTTATATAAATGTAATCTAATTCCACGTTCGTTTGTTCGTACCAAAATTTTCTTTGTACCCGAGTGCAAAAAAATTATAATTATAATTTGATTAATATTTTCATTAATTTAAGATAATTGATAATAATAAACATTTCTATGGAAATAACAAAAAAAACGTTCGGGTTCACGAACGCCTCAAAAGCAGCGTTCTTCTGGTATGTTGTCTTTGATAATAATAATAATAATAATAACTCATTTTAATTTCATATCCGTTTTGCCATTTTAGTACGTTCGTTCCCTCGTTCGATTTAAATTTTAATTAATATTTAAAAAAAAAAAAAGAATTTATCAATAAACCGTTCATCCATTGATTAAACGTGACAAAAGAAAGAGATAGAGAGAAACAAAATGAATACATTTAAAACAGAGAGAGAGAGAGAGAAACAAAATGAATACATTTGAAACAGAGAGAGAGAGAGAGAGAGAGAGAGAAACAAAATGAATACATTTGAAACAGAGAGAGAGAGAGAGAGAGAGAGAAACAAAATGAATACATTTGAAACAGAGAGAGAGAGAGAGAAACAAGACGAATGTATGCGAAACCGAAAGAGAGAAAGAGAAAGAGAGACACACAAGCAAAATGTACGTGAAAGAGAGAGAAAGTTAGAAAAACAAGACAAATGTATGGAAAAGAGAGAGAGAAAAGAACAAGACAAAAAATATAAGTGAAAGGGGGAGAGAGAGAGAGAGAGAGAGAGAGAGAGAGAGAGAGAGAGAGAGTTTATTTGAATTTCGTTTCGTACTAAAAAAAAAAAAAAACAAAAATTTATTTAATTTTTTTTTCGAATTTGTTCAAATAAATCATCGTTTGTTTATAAGCCGACATCAATAAAAAAAAAGAAAATTAATAATTAATAATAATAATAATAATAATAATAATAATAATAATAATAATAATAATAATTAGAAAAAAAAAATTTTTTTTGTCGCAATTACGAAATTTCTTTTGTTAATACATAAGAAAATATGATATTTACGTGTTTACATGATGATGCATGCGTTCGCTCTACGATGAATTTATATAAGGAGACGTAGATAAAGTTTATCCCAAAACCTTATTTCTTACACGACAGACAAACAAACAAACAAACGAACAAACAAAAAATTTATAATAATAATAATAACGAAAAAAAAAAAAAAAAAAAAAACTCGCGAAGTTCGAAAAAAAAAACTTAATTAATATAACACGAGTTTCACACGAGTAAAATTTTTACGAATGTTTTTTTTTTATTTTTCGGGGGGGAGAAGGGGAGGGGGGGCTATCAATAAAAATTATTACCGTAATAATAACACTAATATTATCGATACAAATCACTTATTGATATTTTTAAATAAATAAATAAATAAAAGATTAAAATTATTTGACGTATCGTAATAATCGTAGTCGTTAATAAATAAATTTATTATTATTATTATTAAAGTAATAAAAAAAAAATTAATAAATATTTATTTATTTATTTATTAACTGCGGCACATATCGCGACGTTTTAAAAAAAAATTTATTTATTTATTTATTTGATTTAAAAAAAAAAAAAAAAAAAAAAGTTTTATATAAGAGACGCGTGTAAAATCCCGATTATAACTGCCATGAAAATGTTTGTGGAGAAAAAGGCGAGGAAAAAAAAAAAAACGAAAAGAGAGAGAGAGAGAGAGAGAAAAAGGAAATAAAGAAAGAAAGAAAGAAAGAAACTTTTCATTTTGTCATGCGCCATGAAAATTTTTAAAATTTTTCCCACCAAAAAAAAATTAACCTAACAATCGAAAAGAATACTTATATATATATATATATATATATATATATGTATAACATAACACAATAATAATTAAAAATGTAAATAATAATAATAATAACAGTAAAGATTAATTAATTAAACATTTTTATCTGAATTATGAATATACTATATAATGCTCCCCCTCCCCCTCTCTCTCTCTCCTCCCTCCCTTATTCAGGGGGGGAGGGAATTAAAAAAAAAAAAAAGTTTTGTCATAATTACATTACATTATTTTGTTTAAATAAAAACTTAAAACTTTGTTTAAATAAAAGTCAAAAAAAAAAAAAAAAAAACTCTTAATCAAAGATAATTAAAACAAGGTATTAAAAAAAAAAAAAAAAACTTATGTTTTAAACGCCATTTTGTTTTTTTTTTTAAAACTTTTTTAAGAGTTTTGTAATTAATAAAGTTTTATTATTATTATTATTTGAATTTTGTCTCTTAATGAATGTATGAATGAATGTATGTATATTAAATAAAATTTTAATGATTGTAATATAGAAACATTTTCTTTTGTGGTTGTTGTTGTTGTTTGTTACGGTTTAAGGCATAAAATTAAAATAATATTCAATTTGACATGTACGTTGAACGTTAATAATAAATATCTCATCTCACTTTAAGTTTACATAATAATAATAATAATAATAATATTCAATCAATACATTTTCATTCATAAAAAAAAAACAGTTAATCAATGTAAATTTTTTGCTTGTTTGTTTGTTTGTTTGTTTGTTTGTGTGTGTATGTGTTAAAAATTTAAATTGTTTGATATTTATTTGGCAAAGAAAATTATTTTTTGAATTATTAAAAATACCAAAGCACCCACAAATTAGTTAGTATTGTTAGTATTTTAAATATTTTTTTAAAAAAAAGTTAAATTATTATGATTGAGAATTATTATGTTTATAATAATTTTGTTTGTTTGTTTGTTTGTTTAATAATTATTTTAAAATAAGTAAATTCAAATTGCAATTGAAAAAAAAAAAAAACTTTTTTTTGCTTGTTCTTTGTGTTTTGTATCAAGAGCCATTTTAAGAAAGAAACTATAAAAATATCAAAATTTGTTTTTAATGGAAGTTTTCCAACTATTTGAATAGTTTTTCATTTTCTGTTCTTGCTTTTGTTTTTCAACAGCAATGAATGAAACATTTTCTTTTTTTTTTCAAATTAAAATAAATTTATAGGTGTGTGTGTGTGTGTAAATGTGTGTGAGTGTGTGGGTATGTGTGTGTGTGTATGTGTGTTAAAACATTTTAAACTGTTTTTTTAAATTTCAAACGTATTTTATGAGACTTCTGGTTGATTATAAACTTAAAAGTAATTTATTATCAGAAACTTAAAATAAATTTCTATAAAATTATTCATTTCAATGAGAAAATTTTACCATAAAAATTCAACCATAAAATTGAACTTTGTACTTACTTTAATGAGATTCAATATACATTCAATAAATTTAATAAAATAAGTACTTTTCATATATATATAAACGAATGGAAGAATAAATATATATTGATAATTACCTTTTGATGAGAAAATATAAATATTTTTGGCGGATTCATATTAAAAACCACAAAATCACTCGAACAAAAAATCATCTCGCAATTCACGAGATTTTCCGCGCTCTTATGGGATCGATTTCAGAACGACAACCTTTTCTTTTTAGTTAACTTTCGTCTGCTTTTTATTAAACTCTTTGGAATTCTAGAACATTGTTCCATGTAAAGTTTTTTTTTGTTAACTTTTTATAAATGAAGTGACAATGTTATTTAAATACGTAGATATTTATATTTAGCTTATAAAAATGAATAACAATTGGTTTGAAAAAGTCATTTTGTTTTAAAATTAATTATAATTAAATATTTTTTTGAGGTTTAATTGATTGATTTTTATCACACGCCCATAGAAAATGTTAGGACGAAAGCAAAGTTTGAAGGGTGAACCCATTTTGGCGGATTACGGACCTGAAGAATCGTTAAACGAAAGCGCTGATGTTGAATGGGTTAATTTAATATGGGTACGACGTTTAATGAGAGGTTGTGCTTTATTAAGTTTGGTATCCGTCAGCATGAATACACCTAAAACTTTTAACAAATACAATTCACTACAGTACATAACATTTTGTTGCGACCTCTTCGTTACTTTTCTCTTTACTGCCGAAATGATTGCCAAAATGCACATTAGAGGTATTTTAAAAGGTGATGTACCTTATTTAAAAGATCGATGGTGCCAATTTGATGCTAGCATGGTATTCTTCCATTGGGTATCCGTCATATTGCAAATGTTTGAAATGCTGGGAATCGCTCCACAATTTAGTTATTTGTCCATTTTACGAGCACCCAGACCATTGATCATGATACGATTTATTCGAGTCTTTTTGAAATTTTCAATGCCAAAATCAAGGATCAATCAAATATTTAAGTAAGTTTACAATTGTATTCATTGTTCGATTAACATTAAATTATTTTTTTAAAGTATACTAATCATATGTGAATTTTATTTTTCAGGCGATCCAGCCAACAGATTTACAATGTCACACTATTTTTTTTATTTTTTATGTCATTATATGGTCTGCTTGGAGTTCAATTTTTTGGAGAATTGACAAATCACTGCGTTTTGAATACCACCGATCCCAAGTAAGTTTTTTACTTTCTATTTTTATTTTATTTTTATTATTTTTTAAAATTAATTCACAACTTTTTTTTTTAGCTACATCACAATCAACAACTTGGCCATTCCTGATACATTTTGTTCTAAAGATCCTGATTCAGGGTATCAGTGTCCAGCTGGAATGAAATGCATGAAATTAGATTTGTCTCGATATATAATGGGATTCAATGGTTTCGATGAATTTGGAACGAGTATTTTTACAGTTTATCAAGCTGCATCTCAAGAAGGTAAAATTATTATAATTTGAAATAACTTAAATTAACAAAAAAAAAAAAAAAAAAATTTTTTTTAATAATTTATTTATTTTTTATTTAATTTAGGTTGGGTTTTTATTATGTTTCGAGCAATCGATTCGCTTCCAAGCTGGAGAGCTGCTTTTTATTTCTCTACAATGATTTTCTTTCTCGCATGGCTTGTGAAAAATGTTTTCATTGCTGTCATTACTGAAACATTTAATGAAATAAGAGTTCAATTTCAACAAATGTGGGGAGTCCGCGGTCAAATCACAAAATGTTCTGCTTCTCAGGTAAATAATTTTTATTTATAATCAAATTAATTTTCTCGTTATTTAACTTCACAAATATAATTTTTTTAAAAGATATTAACCGGAGATGATATGGGATGGAAATTAGTGACATTAGACGAAAGTAAACATGGAGGCTCTGCTCCACCATTTTGCTTGACAGTTTTAAGATCAGCATCATTTAGATTGTTAATGATGGGGATTATATTGGCGAATGGCGTCGTCACAGCCACAATGAGATTCATGCATGATGAAACGCCACGTTACGAATTTTATAAAAATTATTATTACATTGAAATTGCATTTACAATATTTTTAAATTTGGAAACTCTTTTCAAAATATGGTGTTTGGGATTTCGAGGATATTTCAAACATTCAATTCATAAATTTGAATTGCTTTTGGCTCTTGGTACAACAATTCACATACTACCCGGATGCTATTTATCTGGATTTACTTATTTTCAAGTTTGTGGATTTTTATTATTTACTACTCATCATGACCTAATTTTATATGTTATTTCATTTTAAAATTATTTCTTGTAGGTTTTGAGAATTGTTCGATTGATAAAAGCCTCACCAATGTTGGAAGATTTTGTGTATAAAATTTTTGGTCCAGGAAAAAAACTCGGGAGTTTGATTATATTTACAATGTGCTTGCTGATTATTTCATCCAGCATTTCCATGCAGTTATTTTGTTACCTGTGCGATTTTACAAAATTCGAAACCTTTCCCGAAGCATTCATGTCCATGTTTCAAATCCTGACTCAAGAGGCTTGGGTTGACGTTATGGACGAAACCATGCTTCGAACGAGAGAACAATTAACTCCATTCGTTGCCGTTTATTTCATATGCTACCATTTATTCGTCACATTGGTAAAATTTATTTTCAAGTTTCATTTTTTTAAGTAAAAACAATCTTTAAACATTATTAAAAAGAAAAAAAAATATTACAGATCGTGCTGAGCTTGTTCGTCGCCGTCATATTGGATAATTTAGAATTAGACGAAGACATAAAAAAATTAAAACAATTGAAATTTCGAGAACAACACGCGGAAATAAAAGAAACGTTGCCGTTTCGTCTGAGGATATTCGAAAGATTTCCCGATTCTCCACAAATGACTTGCCTTCATAAAGTTCCATCGGATTTTATACTACCGAACGTGAGAGAGAGTTTCATGAGACAATTCGTTTACGAAATGGAAGAGGATGATTATTCGGAAGGTGTTAAAAAAGTATCGGAAGTATTCGATTCGAAAATTGTTTATAGAAAGAAAAAACCCGTGAAAATTTTAAGCGACACCCCTAAAGTCCGACACATAAGCACGGATTTGAAGAAGGCCGCCATTAATTACATAATAAGGTGAGAATAATGATATTTTTCTGTATAATTTTTTTGGTTTGCTCTTAGATTGATGAAAACAAAACAATACAATACAAGAAAGTAGATTTGATAAAAGATGCTCGATTACAAAAACAAAAAAAAAAATTGCTTAGTGTTTTGTAAGATTAAAAATTAGTTTTAGTTTTTTAAAAAAAAAATTCACTTTTTACAAAAGTATGAGTAAAAATTGCATTTAAATAATTATATATTATATTATTATTATTATTATTTTTTAGTGAAATGCTTTTTGCTTTTGACGTAGTAAGCTTTTTTTTTTAATGTAATTATTTTTAATATTAGCGATTCGAATAATCAAAGGCTAATGTTGGGCGATTCGGCTGTTATACCGGTTCCTAATAAATCAACTATCAAACCACAGGGAACGATCGCAAGCTCCAAACAACTAAGAATAGATCAGAAAAAGTAAGCGAAAAGAAGAACAAAAAAAAAAAAAAAAAAAAAGCTTATAAAGGCGAAACAACCCCACGAATAAATAGTTTTCCGTTAATTTAATTTTTTTTTTTCTTTTTTTTCTTTTTCTATCGGCAGATCTCTGAGAAGAAGCGTTCGAAGCGGTTCGATCAAACTCAAACAAACCTACGAACACCTCATGGAAAACGGGGATATCGGAGCCATGAACAGAGTCAGCGCAACTCGGAGCAGACCCCAAGATTTGGATATAAAACTTCTTCAGGCAAAAAGACAACAAGCGGAAATGAGACGGTAAATAAATCAAAAGTATGGAACGGAAAGAGATAATTAATAATAATAATAATTGTTTTTTTTTTTTTTAAAATAGGAATCAAAGAGAAGAAGACTTGAGAGAAAATCATCCTTTTTTCGACACGCCACTGTTTGTCGTTCCAAGAGAGAGTAAATTTCGTAAAATTTGTCAAATGATTGTTTACGCACGGTACGATGCGAGGCTCAAAGATCCTCTGACTGGAAAAGAGAGAAAAGTTCAATACAAACGACTCCAGTAAGATTATCAGTTTGTATATTTTGGAGGAAAAATTCCCCCCCCCCTCCCCGTGAAGTTTGAATTAACGTTGTCTTATTTTTAGCAATTTTCTGGGATTGGTGACCTACCTGGACTGGTTATTGATCATGGTGACGACTTTATCCTGCGTTTCCATGATGTTCGAAACACCCGGATACAGAGTCATGGAAACGCCCGGACTTCAAGTTGCCGAATACATATTCGTCATTTTTATGAGCATCGAACTCGCATTGAAAATTTTAGCAGACGGTTTATTTTTCACACCGAAAGCTTACATAAAAGACTACGCATCCATGTTGGACGTTTTCATTTACCTGGTAATGAATTTTCAAAAAAACTTTTTTGATTCCTTCTGCTTAAATGAAAACGAATAAAATGTTTTTTTTTTTATTAAAGGTCAGCTTGACATTTTTGTGTTGGATGCCGAAAAACGTACCGCCCAATTCGGGTGCACAACTTTTGATGGTGTTGAGGTGCGTTCGACCTTTAAGAATATTCACTCTCGTGCCACACATGAGAAAAGTCGTCTACGAGCTCTGCAGAGGTTTCAAAGAAATTTTACTGGTGAGTAATTAAAATTTCCAGAAAAAAACGAATTCTGAAGATTGTACGGATGTTAAGAACAACCTTTTGTCTTTCAGGTATCCATTCTTTTGATCGTTTTGATGTTTGTCTTTGCGAGTTACGGAGTACAACTCTTTGGTGGTCGATTGGCGAGATGCAACGATCCTACGATAACGAGACGAGAGGATTGCGTTGGAGTTTTCATGCGAAGAGTGTTCGTTACGAAAATGAAAGTTTCACCGGGAAGAAACGAATCTTTTCCCAGTCTTCTCGTGCCACGTGTTTGGTGAGTATCGTGGAAATGGGGAAAAAACTTTTCATCATCATCATCATTCCTTTTTTTTTTTTTCTCTCTCTCTCTCCATAACGTTTTGTTGACAACATTTCCCCTCGGGAACGTGTTATTAATATGATTTTTATTCAGGGCCAACCCTCGACGTTTCAACTTCGATAATATTGGAGACGCTATGCTTACTTTGTTTGAGGTTTTATCATTTAAGGGTTGGCTTGACGTACGAGATGTTCTCATCAAAGCTCTGGGACATGTGAGTCCTAACTAAAAATCCTTCTCGTTAATTGTTGTTATTTATTTATTTATTTATTTATGCCCGTTTATGTATATTTTTTTATTTGTTTAGAGTACATAACCTGCATGCGTCACACCTTTTTCTATTTTTTATTGTTTAACCGAAAAAAAAAAAAAAGTCGTTGTTGCTCGTTACGAAAAAAAAAAAAAAAAAAAAAAAAGTTAATAGCGAGTTTTTTGCCTGAGCTTTTATTGGGAAGCTATACAACCGTTATTATTATTATTATTATTTTGTTTTATGATTTATTTTTTATTTTTAGTTTTGACTGATGAATCGAAAGGCTTCGGAAATGCCTCTGTGATTTATATGTAGGGAATGTTATTTAGGGAATGCGGACATCAATTTAAAGCAAGATAATAATAATAATAATAATAATTAAAAAAAAAAAAAAAATGTCGAAGAGTCGAAAAGAAAGGAAAAAATTCAAGTTGATGCATTTTTTTTTTTTTTTTTTTTCTTTATCCTACAGATCCATGCCGTTTACATTCACATCTACATATTTTTGGGATGCATGATTGGTTTGACACTGTTTGTCGGCGTCGTCATTGCCAATTATTCGGAAAATAAGGGTACGGCACTGTTGACCGTGGATCAGAGGCGTTGGTGCGATCTTAAGAAGAGGTTGAAAATCGCACAACCTCTTCACCTTCCACCCCGTCCGGATGGTAAAAAATTTCGCGCTTTCATATACGACATAACGCAAAATTTGGCATTCAAAAGGTTCATAGCACTCATGGTTATCGTCAACAGCAGTTTGCTGTGTGTATCGGTAAAAAAAATTTTATGTTTTTAATTCCTGAGCTCTTTTGTTTGTGTTTGTTTGTCGTTTCAAATTTTATTTTATAACTCGGATGTGTTTGTTTTCACAGTGGAGAGAAGAAGAGAGACACACGGATCCATTGGCCATGGTTAGCACGGCGTGCACACTTATATTCGTCGTCGAAGTTCTCATGAAATTCATCGCATTCACACCGAGAGGTTATTGGCAGTCCAGACGTAATCGTTACGACCTTTTCGTCACTGTCTACGGAGTGGTTTGGATCTTCATCAATTTTAGTTTGAGAGTATGATCTTCTGGTTGACGAACATGTCATTTAAATCACGAATTTTTTTTTTTTAACCGTTTGTTTGTTCGTTTGTTTCAGAATGATCTGTCGTATTCCATCGGGTTTTCCGTCGTCATTTTCCGATTTTTCACAATCACCGGAAAACACGCAACGTTGAAAATGTTGATGTTGACCGTCGGCGTGTCCGTGTGCAAAAGTTTTTTCATCATATTCGGAATGTTTCTATTGGTTTTCTTTTACGCCCTTGCCGGTACGATCATTTTCGGTACCGTCAAATACGGCGAAGGTAATTTTTTGACAAATGGAAGTTGTCGATTCGTTACAAAAAGAAAAAATTTAACATTTGGTTTTTCGTCAAAAAAAAAACAGGGATAGGTCGGAGAGCAAATTTCGAATCTCCCGTCACCGGTGTCGCCATGTTGTTTCGTATAGTGACGGGAGAGGATTGGAATAAGATAATGCACGATTGCATGGTTCAACCACCCTATTGCACCCCCGCGGATAACTATTGGGAAACGGATTGTGGAAATTTCACCGCGTCACTCATATATTTCTGTTCCTTTTACGTCATCATAACGTACATAATGCTTAATCTTTTGGTGGCCATAATCATGGAAAATTTTTCACTGTTTTATTCGAACGAAGAAGATGCTTTGCTTTCCTATGCCGACATAAGAAATTTTCAAGTGAGTGAGTGAGAGAGAGAGAGAGAGAGTGTGTGTGTAAATTTTAATGCAAGTTTTACCGAAAAATTTTTTCTTTTTCAGAACACTTGGAACGTTGTAGACGATTGTCAAAGAGGTGTCATACCCGTGCACAGAGTCAAATTCATTCTCAGACTACTCAAGGGAAGGCTGGAAGTGGATCCGCAAAAGGATCGTTTGCTCTTTAAACATTTGTGTTACGAATTGGAGAGATTGCACAACGGAGAAGACGTTACCTTTCACGACGTGTTGAAGTAATTCTTTGGTTAATGTTTAAAAAAGAGAGAGAGAAAAGTATGTAATTAATTTTGTTTCCTCTTCATATTTCAGCATGCTGTCGTACAGGTCAGTCGACATACGGAAAGCTTTGCAATTGGAAGAACTTTTGGCTAGGGAAGAATTCGAATACATAATCGAAGAGGAAGTTGCCAAACAAACGATAAGAACGTGGTTGGAAGGTTGTTTGAAAAAAATGAGATCGGGAAACATTGCCGTAAGAAAATATTTAACGCGTTTCCACCCCCCCATTCCCCTCCTCCCCTCTGTTTTGAAATTTTGTTTGTTTGTTTGTTTGTTTAGAAACAACAGAGTAGTTTGATTGCGGGTTTGAGAGCGACAAACGAGCCCGTGACAGAATTGGAAAATACGGAAAAGGAAAACAAAGAAACAAACGGTCCGAAAGATAGCGAAGGTGAAAACAAAGATCACGATGCTGCTCAAAGGCACAGGTTCGAATTTGAAAGGATGAGGATTTTATCATTATCAAGTCGAAGAAACATGTAAAAATTTTGTTTTTTCAGGGGAGCCAAAAAAGCGGTCGTCATACCGAGATCGGACAGCGTGGGAAGCGGAACGGGTAGAAAATTTCTAGCACCGACATTATCCGATCCGGCCGTGAGACAGGACAAGGACAGGGTGACGGGTATCAAACGGAGCACTCGTCAACCCGCGAATACTAAAAATAATTTGCCCCACGTGACGGAAGGATCGGAAATCCGTGACATAAACGCGAACAAGACGTCTATGCCGAAAATATCGAGCGCTTTATCCGAAGTTCACGATTGGTGGACGGAACAAATAAATTACGAAACTCAATCGAGCGACGAAGAAGAAGAAGAAGAATAATAATAATAATAATGATAATTATAACGATAATTAATTAAACCGGAAATGAGGGAAATGAGGGATTTAACGGTCCGTTAATGCTAAAACATTTAAAAAATTTTTTTACCTGGAAAATATTTTTTTATTACGCGAAAAATGGAAATTTATACGTAAAAATTAGTAAAAACGATTTATTATTATTATTATTATTATTATTATTATTATTATCATCATCATCATCATCATCATCGTCAACATTTTGTAGGAAATTATTTAAAACAAAAAAAAAATTCGAGAGTCGTCGCGTTCGTCGCCTTAACAAACAAACACACGCCCATTTCCCAATCCCTCCTATGACGTCATTGAAATTTGTCGAATGTGACGTCACACCGCGTCACATTCTTTTTTTTTTTAAAATTAGTTAACGCGACGTATTATATAATACGTATATTAATCCGTAACGTTAGACTGAATGCATTTAATTAAATTACGCCCAAATAATTATTATTATTATTATTAAATTTAGCCGTTACCAAAAAAGAAAGAAACTTATTTGCCATTATTATTATTATTATTAATAATAAAAAGAGCCAAGTTAGAGTTTAAATAAAAAAAAAAAAATTTATATATATATATATATATAAATAAAAATTGCATTTATTGTTATTTTTATTTATTTATTTGTTGTTAAATTAAATTTAAATAAAAAACAAATGATTTGTTGATTAGATTTATAAATTAAATTAAATTAAATGTCCGGTAGAACCTGTCAATTTTAATAAATAATAATAATAATAATAATAATGATTATGGATGAAGGAGTTTTGTTTTTATATATATATATATATATAAATGTTATAGATTATATGTTTTAATAATATGATTCGTTATGTTGTTTGTTTATCTGTTTGTTTGTGTTAAGTTAAATTAGATAAATAATAATAATATGCACATAAATATTTTTTTGTTTTCCCTTAATTATTATTATTATTATTTTTTGTTATTAAATGATGAGTTTTATAGATTATATGTTGTAATAAGTTAAATATGAAATTATGTTTTATTGTTTTAAAAAAGAAAAAAACCTCGCGAAATATTAAACAAAAATTGTTTGTGTTTGTTAAATGTAATAAATATATTATTATTATTATTATTATTTATTATAAATCTCAAATTATTTTTCATTCGAATAAATGAAGAAAGGATTTAATAAAAATTTTTGTTACTTTAAATTATGTTTAATTTATGTTTTAAGGTTTTTATTTTGTACTTAAAAATATATAAAACTTTTACAAAATTAAACAATCGAATATATATGATAGAACTCACTGTTTGTTGTAATAACTATTTCTTTTGTCGATTTGTCGATTTTGAGAATAATATTTTTGTACTTTTGTTAAATGATACTTTATAAATAATAATGTTTTTGTTTTTGTTACAGATAATAATAATAATAATAATAATTAGATCACTGAGAATCACTTGAAGAACTACTGCTAGAATCTGTCGACATGACTTCAACATCTTCTGCTTCTTTATGATTTCTTGTATCCATTGCTACGCTACCCTGATTTCCGACACTCATGTGTATTTCACCAGAAGGATGCCAAGCGAATTGATTCGATTGCGAAGCAGGTGGTTCTGAAATTTTTTTTTTTTTTTAAATTTATTTTGTTTGCTTTATTGAATAATAATAATAATGATAAAAATAATAATATTTGTACCTCCACCAGCTGAATGACCAGTTCTATGAAAATCTGATAAATTTTGTTGTTGTAACAAATGACCATTTAATGGTAAATCACTCAGTCTACCGAGAAAACCTAATCTCATTTCGATATCTGTCGGATAAGGCCTCCTGGGATCTCCTTGCTGCCATGTCAAAGGTGCACACACAGCATTTGAAGCGCTGATTCTGTGAGCAAATTTAATTAATTCTTCTGATAAAACAGGTCTTTTGTTTGCTTTTGCTATCGATGCTAGTTTTTGCTTTGCTTGAAAAATGGCTGTCGCTAATATTTGTTCTCCTTCTTTTAACTGTCTTTGTAAATTTCTTATTTCTTGATCATGCCTTTCAACTTCTGCTTTTAACGTTTCCATTTTTTTCTCGACTAATGCTTGCCTCCTTCCTAATGCTAATGTTTCTTTTATTTCTTTATCTTTCATAACGAGTAATTCTGTTAGCTGAAAATGTTCAGCACTTGACATTTTTTGATGCCTTAACGTAATCGTGTTTTCAATTAATTCCCTGACAAAAATAAGTTGTTAATTATAATATGTACAAATTTATTTAATCATTTTTTTTTTTTTCATTTTAGCTTACTAATAAATATAATAAAATTACTTACTTGGCTATGAGTTCCATGTCATCAATTAAAGATAATAATTTATCTCTAGTACTAACGTTACCAGACGCCATTTTTATATAATTTAATAGATTATGTATAACTAATTAATCCTAACATTTATTTCATAGAAAAAAATAAGGAAATGTATTATAATTACAGTGCCACATTTTGCAAGTGCAATAAACAAAACAGTGTAACAGCAACATTGACAAAGTAAAATATTATCTAGTTCCACGACGCGACGGTTAATTTTTTTATTTGTATTTTGCCCATTGATTTCGTAAATAAAAATTTTGGCGCGGAATCGACCGCCATTTTAGTTTTCATATACATTAGCTGGGCATATGCACTTAATGAATATTTTGATTTTGTACATTTTACACTTGTTTTTTTTATTTGGACGATTAATTTTAGGAAAAGATGGAAAAAACCGTTAATGCCTACCTTATGGAAGCATGCTAAAGAGATATTCTACTTTATATCTTATAAAAAATGCTGTAAATGTACAATTAAAAAAAGCACATGAATTGTCTTTGGGAATTAAATTTTTGTAAAACCTTATAAAAGTGTGACATATTTAAATTTCATGTAAATCTGAAGTCTTTGGATTGAAAGAATGTAGTAAATCATGAAATAAATCTTGTAATTTTTATAAATCTTTAAATTTATTTGTGATTTTAATATCAAATCATAATTTGCTATTATTTCAATAATTTTATTGAAATTTCTTTCTTCATTAGGTAGTTGAATTGCATTTGAAATGAATATTTATTAAAACAATTAGATCAAAATGAATTCCAGTTTTAATACAGTTTTTTTCTTTTTTTTCCAGCGTTTGTGAAAATATAAGAATTTTCATTCCAGCACTGTTAAATAAGGCCCTATCGGAATCCAGCAAGCTGTTACCATAAAATCAATAGCAAAAATGACTTTCCACCAAGGGAAGAAAAACTCTTTATTAAACATTTTATTTAACTTGTTATAATGTTTTTATTTCAAAACGTTTCAAACATGTGTAATTCTTGATAATAAAAAAAAAGAAGAAATCCTAAAAACATGTCCTCCTTCTCCTCCTCCTCCTCATCATCATCATCATCATTGAAACTACCATCTTAAAAATATAATTTAAACATTTAAATGAATTCAAAAAAAATGAAATCAACATAACAAATATCATTATCAGGTGGTACTACTTTATCAAAATGATAAAACCTTTCACAAACCACCTCACCATCCACCACCACCCCCCTTCTTTCCCCCAAGTAGAAAACTATTCAAATTCATCATTTTAAATTTTTTTGTTGGCCACAAACTAACTGAACAAAAAATTTTTTTAACCTCATATTAAAATTCAGGATTCAACAAAAAAATGTAATTAAATCAATTAGTGACACGACAACAACAACAACAACAACAACAACAACAACAACCAAAACCCCTTTTTCAATATATATTTCATACCCTAATCTCTCTCTCTCTCTCTCTCTCAATGTTTTCATTTAAAAATGATTAAGAATCCAACACCTAACCAAGTCAAATTAATTTTTTTCTTTTATATACGATTAAGGGGATGAATCCCCTCCTCGACACCCTCAAATAATAAAATACTTAATATATGCGAAAAATATGTCACTAATCAATCCGATTTGCTCTATATATATATAAACGTAAACTTATTTTCTAGGGGTTGTTATTACGAATGGGTTTTATTATTTAATAAAACGGCACGTTATATATATTTATATATATAATGTGCCTTCGTAAATGATATCGATAGTTATTTAATTGGGAACACGTGCAGAATAAAGTTATTGAAAGTCAAAAAAAAAAAAAAAAAAAAAATGAAAGAATATTCAATCGAATTAGAAACAGTTTCCGGATTTATGAAAAAAAAAAAAAATTTTTTTTTTTTTTTTTTTAATTAAATCCGCTTAATTGTTTTCCACCAAATAAGGGATGATGAATGGGGATGATTTTTTCACAATAATAATAATTTTTTTAATATTAAATTTATATATTTGACGGGGTGGGGTGGGATGGAGTGTAAGTTTACACGCGCAAAAAATTATTATTATCATTATCATTATTATTATTTTTTAAGTTGAGTTTTAATATCCGGAATAAGACAAAAAAAAAAAAAGGAAAAAAAAAATTAAACATTATTTTTCGTATGGTTTGAAATAACCAATCAAAAGTAAGGAATTACGTAATAATATTTTCAACCAATCAGATTCGTCAGTGGGAGGAGCTTAGCATAAGAGCTGGGAAATTTTTTTCAGTTTGATTTTTTTTTCTTTTCTACGCGGACGGAAAAAGATTATTATTATCATTTTTTTTTTGGAAATCGTCATAGAAGGTTCGAGATTTTCGATTTTATTATTATTATTATTATTTTTAATGTAGAAATTTTTTCGATATTTAAAAAAAAAAAAAAAAAAAAAAAAAATTATATTCGTGACAAATGTCAAATTATTCGTCAATGAATGGAGATCAGGGACATTTTTGGGAAAATAATTCCGTGGCCGTAAGTTTTTTATTTTTATTTTAAATTTAAATTTAAATTTAATTAATTTCGGACGCCATTTTTAAATAATTTTTTTTTTTTTTTTTTTTTGTAAATTAAAATTAAATTTTATAATTTTTTATAGCCAATAAATGCGACGGATCTTATGCCACCCGGATATGGAGAATTATCATCGTACGGAGCTTTATGGGATCATCACATAGCAGCAGGTTATCCTCCTATGACACTAGCCAGTGAAATTTGGTCGAGCGGACACGGAAATGTTTTACAACAAAGGTAAGAGAGACAGACAAAATGTCGAGAAAAAGAAGAAATAAAAATTTTTTTAACACGTGACATCGGTGAAATTGTCCGTCTTTCATCCGACAGGTTTTCATCTCAAAGAGTGTCGAACAATCAAGTTAATCAAAGTGGTAGTATGAACATAAACGGTACTCCGGTACCGAATAAAAAACCGAGGAGGAGAGTAGCGACGTTGGCACAAAGAAGAGCTGCCAACATAAGGGAAAGAAGAAGAATGTTTAATTTAAACGAAGCTTTCGATAAACTTCGTAGAAAGGTACCAACTTTTGCTTACGAAAAAAGATTATCTAGAATAGAAACGTTGAGATTGGCAATTACTTACATAAGTTTTATGGCCGAATTATTAGATGGCGGTCCTAAAAATGGACGAATAGATTCTCCCATTTGTCATTTTACAAATCCCAGATCCGATTTTCTACCTTATTCTCTTATACAAAATTAATAAACAATTTTCAAGGCAGACATTTTTGTTTTTAAATTTGTGTTGGTCGCTCAAACGAGGTACGAACCTAAAACAAAATTAAATAATATTTTATGTTTTATTAAAAAAAAATTTTTAATCAGGTTTTCTGCTTGCCAAACTATAAAACCCTCTTCCTGCGCTTTTTTTCCATTTTCTTTTTCGTTTAATTTATGTATTAATAAAGTTAATAGCAGGTTTTTCCGACTTATTTTCACTTTAACAAATTTTTAGGTTGCATTTTTTGTTTTATGGCAAAAATTTAATACCCTAAGTGAGTATTTAAGTGAGTATTTGGGAAAAATTTTCAACCCTTACAATAAACAAAAAAAAAAAAAATATTTTTAATTAATAATAATTAACGCGCTTTCGATTTTATTTATTAATAAAATATTGCTCAATTTATTAATCGATATATCGAGTCTTCCATTTATTTATGTATTTATTATGTAATTTATTTATTTGAGAATAAAAATATTAATTTTTAATTTTTATTTAAGTTTTAAACCTATGAAAATTTATAAATTTTTTTTTTTTTTTCATCCTGTAAATCAATGCAAAAAAAGATTTAAATTTGTTAATAATATTTTAATTATTAACTTATTAAGTTCTTATTTATTATTTGTACATTTCCGTTGAAAATTTTTTAAATTTAAAACAACAACAAAAAAAGTTGATGTTAATTACTAAAGTACGATATGATGATAATTTGAGTTTGATATAAGTTACAGTGGTGCCAACTTGAAAATTTCCCATTTCAAAATTCCCGTTGAACTGGTTAAAAAAAACATGGAGTTCCTTAAAGAAAATAACATTTGTAAACAAACTATGAAATTTCTGTGATGTAGAATGAAAAGTTTAATTGTAAAAAAAATTCATTATTATAATATCGAAAAACATGGAAGTTGAGGAGAAAACGTCGCCGGTAATTGACAGCACGGCTGAAAATAATGGGAAAAAAGGGAAAATTATGACATTGTTGTTTCCAGCTGAATCCCAGCAACCCGTGGAGGGAAAAGATGGTAGAAAAGATAAAAATCGACCTCAGATGAAGGTATATTAATTATAATTTTAATTGCGGGTTAACACGATACGGGAATATTTGAAAAAATCATAAGGTTAACGTGATTAGGGCACATGTTAGCAATGTATATGATTTCACATCATCTTTTGAAAATTACAACTTGCAATCGCATAACCCCTTCTTAAATTATATTTTTTTAATAAAATATAAGTTTCAATATGCAATTTAATAGTATCATGCATGCATAAAAAACGTTTACAGGTTGTTATCAGGAGATTACCACCTAAACTAACGAAAGAAGCCTTTTGTGAAGAGTTTTCACCTTTGCCACCACATGATTACTTTCATTTTGTTCGAGGAGATTTAAATTTAGGATCGCATGCATTTTCCAGGGCTTACATTAATTTTATTAATCAAAAAGATATATTTTCTTTTAAAGAAAAATATGATGATTACGACATTCAAGATGACAAAGGTAAGAAATGTATTTATATCATTAAAAAAATTGAACAGGAATTAATTTAAATGAGTTTTTTAAATAATTTACAGGTAGGACTTACCATGCAGTTGTCGAATTTGCTCCTTTTCAAAAAATTCCTAAAAGAAAAGTTTTGAAAAAAAAATCATCCAAAGCTGGAACATTAGAATCGGATCCAAAATATGTCGAATTTCTACATAAACTGGAAGAATCTAAAAATTTTATAAATAATCCATCTGAATATTTTCACGAGACGGAAAGTATGAATTTAAATATTTTCTTTTTAGTTTTCTTATTATTATTATTATTATTATTATTATTATTAATATTATCGAACCTGTGAAATAAATTTTAAAAATGTTTATTTTATTTACAGATCCGGCTTTGAAAGCGAAAGTCATAACTACACCACTCCTTGAATTTTTGAAAAAGAAAAGACAAAAAAAAATTGATCTCAGAAATGAAATAAGACAAAGGAAAAGAGAAGCTGAAAAAAGGAGAAAAGAAGAGGATAAAAGAAAAATGGATAGGGAAAAAAAAAAAGAAGAGAAAAAAAGTGTGGAGAGAAGTAAAACGGGAGACGAAAGAGGAGAAAAAATGGATGAAAAGGTTAAAGAGAAAAAAATTGATGATCGCGGACGTTACAAAGATGAAAAAAAAGATTCAAAGAATAAAAAAAATTTAGAAAATGATTCATTATCGGAGGAAAAATTGGATTCTGTGATTCCAAACGATCCAGCTATATTAGAAGTGGTAAGAAAGGCTTTTTTTTTTTTTTTTGTTATCATTTTTTATCCCTTAAAAGAAAAAAGGAATCGTTTAAAATTTTCCAGGTCGTTAGACGTTCTTCTGATAAGGATGGAAAATCTGGTGGAGCGAAAACGATATCGAAAAATGTTGAAGAAACAAAGAGTTCAAAAGCAACAAATGAAAATGAAGGAAATGTCGGAAAACCGGAAAGGAAATATTCAGATTTTCGCAGCGGTCGGATGGTAGAAGAAAAACAGCGTAAAACATTTTATAAAAGAGATGCAGACGATGGTAAAATAGTCAAAACTCAAATGGGAAATCGAAAAGGGGTGCCCGATGAAAAGGGTGACAATTACAACATCGGATACTGTTCGGATTTGAAAGAACCGAAAAATTCGGATTTGGATACCGAATCGAAACGTCACGAGTTGAAAAACGAAGTCAAAGAAACGAAAAGTAAATTCAGGTACTCGGAACAGAGAAATCGCGACCGGGAATACCGTCAGAAAACGTCGGATTTTAAAAATCCAAAAGAAATAAATAATTTCAGTTCGGAATTGAGTAATAAAACGAAGGATTCCGTCGATAAGGGAATATCAAGAGTTGGCAACAGCTTGAAAGAAGTAGAAGTTAAAAGTAAAAATTTTAATCTAGAAGATGGTGGTGGTGGTGGTGGTGGCAGCAGCAACACCGCATCCGATTTAGAATCGGAAAAGGAAACGATACAATCACGTCCGAACAGGAGGAAATCATTGGAAATGGAACGATCCGTCATTGATTCCGATAGGAGAAGAAGTAAATCCGTACACGATGTGAGCAACAAAGATTTTCATTTCGACGATGATAAAAAGGTTGAAAAATTCAGGTTGGAGAAAGAAAGAGATGTAAATACTCCCGACAAGGATTCCGTTCAAACGGATGACAATTCGAAAGAAAGCACGGAATCGGATAAAATGGACGACGAGTCGAAAAAAGCCGATCCGAGAGCGGAAAGAAGAATAAGAAACAAGGTAAGGTTTGAGATGGACAAAAAGGGAAGGAGGGAGGGGGTAGGGGGTCACCACATAAGGTATTTAGAACGAACAGGTTTTGTTTCCAGGTTTCTTTTTTTTTTTTTTTTTTTAAATAACTACTTAATTGTAATAAAATTATTTTCTTCTAGAGAATTCATCCCTGCGATTGTCACTCGACCTGTACATATGCGAAGGTAAATAAGGACGTGTTGAACCCGTTTTAGGATTTTTTTTGTTAACGTTTCCTAGCTTGACCACCACCTAGCACAACCACCACAACCACCACCACCACTACCACCACCACCACCACCCAATACCGATAATTGCCTATGTTGTTTATTGCCCTGACATGAAGTTGTTACTGTTTTTATCACATTTGATAAAAAGAAGAACTTGTTGTACGTAAAAAAAAAAACAAAATAAAATCAAATTTAATATTTAGGTCGATGATAAGTAGTTTTATTTATTTATTTATTGATTTTAATAATAGTAATAATAAATTTTTATAATTACAATTAATTAATTACTATTATTATTATTATTATTATTATTATTCAAACTTGTAGGCCAGTTTATTATTAAAAAACTAGTAGTTAATAGAAATAAGATTATTTTTCTTCAGCCATTACTTTTAATTCAGGTTCAATATAATTTTAACCATTTTTTTTTTTCTCTTCCCCTCGTCCCTTCCCTTAAACTTTGTGAGTCCATCAGCACCGATTGACCCCCCCCCCCTTTTTTTTTTGTTGACAACAGAGTCGTTTCCCTTTTTATTTTTTTTTCATATTAAAACGAATTTTCTTTCTTTTTTTTTTATATTAAATTTAAAGTTAAAAAAAAAAAAAAAAAGGAAAGAAAATTTCAACTTGGGTTCAACTAAGCCTTAAAGGTTGCCATATGCCATTACAAAAAAATTAGCAACAATTACTCATTTTGATAATAATAATAATAATAATAATGATGATGATTTTTTTTATTATAAAATCATTTTTCAGGATCGACCTTCAATCGAAATATACCGGCCGGGAATGGGAAAATTCAGCAAGCAAAGGTTAGAGCAAAAAAAAGACGATTCAAATGGTTCGAGTCCCACGGGAACTCCTTTTTCGAACAAATCATCAAATCGTTTCGGTTATAAAACGAATAAAAAAAATCAAACGGATAATTTGAAAAATGTCGGATACAAAAGTGAGGATTCGACGACGACACACAAAGGCTCATCAGAAGGAAATGGAAAATCCCATGGCGAAGTTCGAACTATGACGTTTACAAGAAGTTGCAGTAAAGAAAATTGACGGATTGGAAAAGGAAAAGAAAAAGGAAAATTTTTTTGAAAATTTGAATCATCAAAATCTCGAAATAAATTTCATTGTTAATTTTTTTTTTTTTTTTTTTTTTAATAAAAAAGTGTGATGTGGAGCCCGAAGAAACATGGATGGAAGAAGGAAGTTTGTAACGGTTTTTATCCGAAAAATGTTTTCTTACGTTTGAAGAATGATAAATCAAAGATAGATTTTCGACATTTTCTTTCTCCTCCTTTTTCTCCATTTAAAAAAAAGAAAGTAAAGATGATAACGAACGAACAAAAACAAAACAAGTTAATGAAAGTTTTCAAGTTTGTTCGTTTAGCGTCAGTCGCGAATTTTGAATTTTAAATTTCCGTTAATTTCCGTTAAATTTGATTGGTGGAATAAAGAAGGAGGAGGAAGAGGAGGAAGTTTGAAGGGGTCGGGGAAATTCGTCTTACGTTCGAGAACAATTTAAGAAAAAATTGGCTCCTCTTTATAATTTAAATTAATCGAAATGGTAAAAAAGTAACGAAATAAAAAAAAAAAAAATTACCGAATAATTTTCGAACTGGAGAATGGATAAAATGTATATGTGGAGAATTCAAATTAATTTTAACGGTTTTTTTTCCTCTCTCTCTTTCTCTCACACTCGGTGGAACAACCTGATTTGATTTTTTTTTTTTTTTGTCCTTTATCAGTTTTGTTTTTATTCATTATATGAATTATTTTTAAAAAAGCGAAACACGTATTTATTTTTTGTTTCTTTCTGTGAGTTTGTTTTGATTTTTTAAATACTTTAATATAAAAAAAAAAAAAAAATCTCGCGGGAAGTTTTTATTATCGGAACGTGACGAAACAATATGGCGGCTGCGATAAACAAGTAACGAACAGCTCATTAATCTTTTTCTTTCTTCTTTTTTTCTTCTTTTATTGTGTTATTGTCTGTTTGAATAAATAAACGCAGAATGAATTTTTTGTTATGTATTTTATCGTTAATAATTTTGTTTTGTTTTTCTACTACAAATTGTAATGATTTTTGTGATGCTAATAATAATAATAATGAAAATTACAATTGTGGAGAAGAATCAAATAATTCACTCATGAACACCAGGTTTGTATAAAATTAAACGATTGTATATGAAATTATTTTCATTTTATTACGCATTTTCTCTTTCACAAAGAATGAGATTGGGTTTTACTTAAAAAAAATTTACTTTTTTTTAAGGTATATATTTTATGATGTTAATCCGCCAGAAGGTTTCAATTTGAGAAGAGATGTTTATTTAAGAATGGCAGTTTTTGTGAGAAAAATGAAAAAAGAAAATTGGATTTTGGTTTTACCACCTTGGCCACATTTATATCACTGGATGTCTGATACGATACCAGATCAAAGCAGGTAATGTAAAACTCCATCATTAAATTTGTTATTTGTTTTATGTAGGATTCATCAAGATAAGTTAATAAAAATTATTTTTCTTTCCAGGCTTCCATGGAGTTTGTTTTTCAACATATCGACACTTTCAACATTTGCTCCAGTCATTGAAATGAATGATTTTTTACAAACTCGAGAAAATAAAATTGATAAAGTTTATGTGTTGCAACATTTTAAAGACACTTTTACTTCTGGAAATTTCAACGACAGAATGGAAGTGGAACCATGCATAAATGATATACCCTATCACAGGTAATTTGTTCAAATTTATTTTTATAAACAAAAAAAAAATGTAAATGTAAATGTTTTTAATTAAATGAGAAAGATTATAGACAATCGAATGGATTCGTTGGCCACTTTTGGGATTATGATAATGTGACTGCTGAAAGTGTCGAATGTCTTTCATTTCATGGATCTGCATCTCAATTGGGAAAAATATTAAAAAAAACCAAACATAAAACTATCATGTTTGATCATGCTGAAGTTGTTTTGCATGACAGGTAGGGGACCTGACATTTTGTCAATTCTCTTTCATTCGTTGTGTTAGAATAAATATTTATTTTTTTTTTTCAGCTTTGGAGACAAATTGTATTGGGATGCAAGGAGAAGCATGAAGTTTTCTGATAATTTAATAAAAGAAGCAAATAGATATAGAAAAATAAAATTGAATTCGACCGATGAATCGGATGTGACTTTTTGGCCGAATAAAAAAAGAAACGCCATTGGTGGAAATTACATGTGCGTTCATTTAAGAAGAAAAGATTTTTTATACGGTAGAAAAAAAGATGTTCCGAGTATCGAGGGAGCAGCTGAACAAATAGGGAAAGCATTACAAGAACTCGGTCTGAACACTGTTTTTGTCGCAACGGATGCATCAAAAGATGGTATTTTAAGAAAAATTTTCATTTTCCATTATTTGAAAAAAATTAAAGAAAACAAAACAATTTTCTCTCTCTCTCTTTCTCTTATTTTTACAGAAAAAAGAAAATTGAAAAATTTACTTGATAAATATAAAATATTATATTATAATCCGAGTTCTGAAATTATTCAAACGTATAAAGATGGAGGGGTGGCCATTATAGAACAAATAATTTGCTCTCACGCGAGGTGAAATTTCTACTATTATTATTATTATTACGCCAAAACTTCTGAAAAAAAATGTATTATAATAATTGCGAATTTTTTTTTTTTTTCTTTTCAGGAAATTTTACGGCACGCACGAATCAACATTTTCATTTCGTATTCAAGAAGAAAGAGAAATAATGGGATTCAAACCGGAAATGACGTTTAACCGTCTTTGCGGGGACAAGCAGAAAAATTGCAAACCGCCATCGAAATGGTTAATCGTTTATTAAAATTGTCATTTTCCGGGCTCCGAACGAACAAGGGAACTCGCATCCACCCACGCACGCACGCACCCACCCACACGTACTTCCTTTTCCCCTTTGCCCGACGGTGGGAGGGGGAAGGAAAATTCAAGGTAACATTTTTTTTTTACCATTTAAATAATACGAATTAATGACGTAATTATTATTTTATTACGTAATTAATTATGATTTAAGAAATTTTTCGGTTGTTTCTATAATTTCTATCATCATTATCAATTAATCGTTCATTCATTCATTCATTCATTCATTTCGTTTGTTTGTTCGTTCGTTTCCCATCGATTTGATGAATGCATACACAATCACCACCCCCCACCACGAGAGAGGGAGGGAGGGAAGGGGAGGAGAGAGCGTGTGGGTGGGTTGATGGGTGGGTGCACGTGATGCATACGACTGACGAAATCCAAAGGTTAAATAATAATAATAATAATAATAATTTTTTTTTGTATATATATTAATATATAAAAAAAAAATTTGAGTAATTTGTATACTTACATAAATTCGTAATAAAATTACTCGTACTATTGTAAACTTAAAACTACCAAAAAAAAAAAAAAAAAAAAATCAATCAATAAATCAATAAATCGATAATCGAGGCCACAAACTTTTCAGTAAAACAGTCTTTTAAAAAAAATTTCATTTTGTTTGTTTTGTTTGTTTGTTTGTTTTTCTTCTAATTCTTTAAAACAACTAATAATAATCCAATTCATTTGATTTTTCTTTTTTTCGTTTAAAACTAATACTAATGGTTGCGACGATGATGATGATGATGATGAGAATGATTGAGAGTCTGTTTGTCTGTTTGTTTGTTTGTTTGTTTTGATTAAAAATTATTATTAACGATTTTTATACTATATTGTGTTTTTTCTCGGCGTGTTTGACGAGACACGATTTTTGTGTGAAACATTTAAAACATTCTGGACATTCGAATGGTCTTTCTCCTGTGTGAGTTCTCACGTGTCTCCCGAAATCGCTTGCCTTAAGGAAACCTTTTTCGCAAACCTCGCACTTGTACGGCACTTCTCCCGTGTGGATTTTGACGTGACGTTGCAACGAGTACCTGTTACCGAAACGTTTTAAACATGTTTCGCACTTGAATAGTTTTTCTCCCGCGTGAACTTTAACGTGTTTGCTTAGGGTTGTCTTATAGGGAAAAGACTGGGGGCAAAACCTGCATTTCCATTCGTAGACAATGTCCGGGTGTTTGCTCTGGTGTCTTCTCAAAGCCTGAGGATTCGCGAATTTCTTATCGCAGTGATGACACGTGAATGTTTTGGGTATTTCCGGATGACTCGTTTGGTGACGTGCCACGCTTTGCGGATTTTTAAACCTTTTACCGCATATTTCGCATGCGTGCGGTTTTTCCGCGACCGTTTGAGTGTCTATGGTCCTGTGACTGTTGTTCGTCGTAACGGTGACCGCGGTTCCCGGACCTCCTGCTGCCGCCACCTGAGTTTGAAAAGGTTTCGTCTCGTATTGTACCGTTTGTATCGTTTGCGTTTGTATGCACGAAGGCAACACTTTTTGCGTCACGTATTGTATTTGAGTGGGCTGAGCAAACTGTACGGGATTTATATTGAAAAGTTGTACTTTTTGATCTTCGCTTAGCGTCGAAGGTACGGGTTTGAGTTCGACCATGACGGGTAAATGAGGATACGCATCTCCCGTGTATCCTAAATTTATCGTTTGAATTTGATTTCCATCCGGAAGACATTCCTGCTTGAAAAATTCCATTTTTTTTTTTTTTATATTTTATTTATCTGAAGCGAAAAAAAAATAAAAAAAATTATTATTATTATTATTCTTATTCGGTATCGATCGCATGCGTGAAGGGGGGGGGGCCTTATCCAGTAACCCGAAACATTATCATTATTATTATTTTTTTTGTAAATCAAATACCAACGACGAACATTTCAATTTTAAAAAAAAAAAGGTGAAAGTTCAAAAAAGGTTAAAACTGGGAAGGGGGAGGGGGAGAAGAGGGAAAACGAAAAAAAAAAAATTCGATTTCAAAAATTTCTTTATTTCAAAAATAAAAAAAAATATTATTTTTAATAATAATAATGATAATGATAATAATGATAATAAATAAAACAACATCATTAAAAAAATTGCCCTTTTCTTAATTTCGTCTTGACCCGAACTTCGAAAAAAAAAATATATGTGTACATTTATCATCATCATCATCATCATCATCGTATTTATTAGTTTTCATAGAAAAATAATCCTTCGCGAGATGATATTATTATTATTATCATCATTATCATTATTAATTAATCAAAAAAAAAAATGACGTGATAATTAAATATTTTAAATATCAACGTGTGACCGTGACTTAAACGGATTCGGCCAAAAAAAAAAAAAAAAAAAAATGCGCGCGCGTGCATGTACCGTTGATTTATTATCATTATCATCATCATTATCATCACCATTTATTTAATGGTTATTTTAATAGAAAACGATTGTGAACGGTAATATTGAAATATTGCACTTTTCTTCTCATCATTTTTTTTTTCGTCTAGTTCTATTTATTATCATTATTATTATCATTATCATTATCATTATTATTATTATTATTATTATTATTATTATTATTATTATTATTATTATTACCGCTACTACTGTCGTTTTCATATAATCGTATTTCTTCGACTTCTAATCAATTATACAAATATACAGTTTCAAATTATACATTATAATTATAATAATTATTATTATTATTATAACTATTGTACAGGTTTCAAGTGAATAAATACAATAAAAAATTATGTGAGAGAAATAATAATAATAATAAAAACAACTTGGAGAAGAAAGAATAGAAAAGAAAAAAATTAGCTATCATTTGTACTGAAACAAAAAAATCATCATCATCATCATCATCATCATCATTATCATTATTATTATTATTAACTTTTTTCTTCTTTTCTTTTCTAAATGCATTCAGTTCATTGCATTTATAAATAATAATAATAATAACTATTATTATTATTATTATTTTACATATATATATATATATATATATATATATTATTCGGTTAATAATTTACTATGTATTAATTTTACATAAAAAAATATTTAATTATTATTATTATCATTATCACTATTATTATTATTACTGGTACAATGCGTTTCGTGTATGGGCTGAGATTGATTGATTGACGGTTGCACCGCGTGAAAACTTTTTTTTTTTTAAAATTAACGCACGAAAAAAAAAATAAATAAAATAAAATGGGGGGGGGCATTCATTGACGTTATGGCGATCGATAATATCGATCGATCACAATCGATAATAAATCGAATCAATAACTTTTTATTTTGATAAAGGATTCTCATTTATCGATTTTATTAATTCACTCATCATCATTATTATTATTATTATTATTATTAACGTTCGAATTTGAGCAAATAAATTCTTCATTTTCTTTTCCGAAAAAAAAAAAAAAAAAAAAAAAAAGATGGCGCCAGGTGATTTCGTTCTCTTCTTCGTGTCACCAGCGTCCGTTTGTTGTTTACGTGAGAGAATAGGGGCAGAGAGAGAGAGAAAAAAAAAATGGCGTCTCCCATGATTCGCGCGCGCGAGTCATCAGTCGCTGTATATCAATCGTGAATTTTTTTTTTTTTTTTTCGTTCGTTTCCGCGTATTCACAAACGTATTACAACATCAAATTATGCTTTTTTTCGGAATGCTTTATAAAGCTGGCTTTTGTCGTGAAGGCTTTGTCGCACAGTGTGCAGGGAAAAGGTTTTTCACCCGTGTGAGTGCGTACGTGCCTTGAAAATTCGGCACTCTTCAAAAATGGCTTGTCGCAAAGGTCGCACCTGAAAGGTACGTCGCTCTTGTGCAATTTAACGTGTTGAACTAACGCGTACCGCGTTTCGAAACGTTTCTTGCAATTTTCGCACTTGAACAATTTTTCACCTGCGTGCAGTTTCACGTGTCTAGACATGGTTATCTTATACGGGAAAGTTTTATTGCATATCCGGCATTGCCATTCGAAAACCATTTCCGGATGTATGACCTGATGTTTTTTCAAAGCTTTCGGATTCGCGTACCTTTTACCGCATATGTGACACGGACACGGTTTCTCCCTTTTCACAGACAGGGGCGTTTCGTCCGTTTGACTCTCCGTACCGTCCGGTAGTAAATCTTGGGTTTGCGTTTGAGCACACGTCGACATGTATTTCGGTGTCGCGACATATTGTATTTGACCCTGGGTCGTGAATTGTACAGAATTTATGTTGAACAATTGTAATTTTTGTTCTTCGTTGAGTGTAGCAGCAGGCACAGTTTTAAATTCTACCATGACAGGCATTTGATTGTACGTTTCTCCGGTGTAACCCAAATTAATCGTTTGAACGTGTGTGGCTTGAGTCGTCGTACCATCTACTACTTCCGTTTTGAAAAAATCCATTTTTCCCTCGTCTTCTGCTTCTTCTTCTTCTTGTCAGTCAAATTCTGTAATAAACACAACATGATTGTAATTACACATATCCGAATGGGACACCCCAGAGAGGCTGATGACAAATAATTTTCATAAATTTTTATTGATAACTTACTTTTCTCATTATTATTATTAATATTATTATTATTATTATTATTATTATTATTTTGTCTCTAATCGTAGATGTCGATTCCAATAAACACAAAAAAAAAAAAAAACCGATTCACACCGAAAAAAAACCGATTTTAAACGATAAATAAATAAATAAATTAATTAATTAAATTCAGGTCCTCTCCGGGGGTGAATAAAGGCACAGGCACACACACACACAATAAAAAAATGTTTGTTTGCCTCCTTCAGGTTAAACAATAACATTATTATTATTATTATTATTACCATAACAGACACAAAATATTATTATGTAATGAGTAATAATAATAATAATAATACATTTTAATGACTCGTAACAATAATTAATCAAATTAAATCAATAGACACACAAAAAAAAAAGAAAATCGATGATGATGATGATGATGATGATGATAACAAGAGTAATTGTTTTAAACATTCCACTCGAGTAGTTGTGGCTATCATTATTATTATCACAGACTAAAAAAAAAAAAATTATTTACACTGACTCGCTGATGAACTCGTATGAAGTAACCAAAAAAAAAAAAAAATTTAACCATAAATCTCGAAAGAAAAATGACATAAAATAATGATGACTTTCCCTTTTTTTTTTTTTTTTTTAACAAAAATAATAATAATAATATTAATATATGCCAAAAGGGTTATTATAAATTTAATTGTATTTTGTTTTAAATGTCAAATCGTAATCATTGAATTGATTTATTATTACATTTCGAAAAAGAAAATTTTTAACTTTCATGCATGTGTGTGTGTGTGTGTGTGTGTTTAATATTTTTTCTTCTGCTACTGTATTTATTAGCAGTCTTACCTTGTGGTAAAATATATTCATTGACCAGGGGCGGGGGATGGGGGGGGGAAATCAATTTTTATCGATTTCACATGTTTAATAAAATGTTATGAGTGTTGTTATCGATTTCCAATTTAAAATCAAACCATACTTTTCGTTTGTTTGTTGTTTGTTTGTGTGTGTGTGGCCATAACATGATGATATAAAACAATTTATTAACAATGAATTAATTAAATAATAACAAAAAACAAAAAAACAAAAAAATAACTCTAAAATTGTTATAAATAATTAAAAAATTTAAAAAGCTTGTGAAGAATTTTAATTAAAAACAAAGCAAAACAAACAAACAAACAAAAAAAACAATTAAAAAAAAAAAAAAACAAACAAAAATAAAAATTTAACACATATATATGTATTTAATTTAAATAAAATAAAAAATTAATTGAATGAATTAAATATATATATATATATATATATATATATATATTATCAAGTAAAATGAAATGATAACAAATTGTTTGTTTGTTAAAAAATGAAACAAATTCAATTAAATGTTAATAAATTTTTTTTTTTTTTTTCCATTTGAATAAAATTTAAAATTTGTTTTAAAAAAAATTCAAATGGGAAATTTATTAAAAAAAAAAAAAAAAAAAAAAAAGTAAACAAATATCAATTATATCATCATCATCATCATCATCATCATGTTTTTTATTGTAAAAAATGTAGAAACATCTTTTTAGCTTAGCATCTTTTACGTATATTTCAACGAAACGATTTGAAAACCAATACAAAAAAAATTCAATATGATATTTGACAAAATTGAATTATTCAAAGGCGAAACATGATCATCATTTACTTTCATTTTGTTATAAAAAAAAAAAAAGCAAAGATCTTGTTGTACATTAGTAAAATACTGCGGGTTCGAAAATAACAAAAGAAAAAATATGGAAAAATGGGTGAGGCCTACATAGAACAAAGCGATAGAACGGCCAACGGATAAGAAAAATTTTCATTTTACATTCTTACCTTATATTTTCGTGTATATATATATATATATTCGCGAGGCAATCTTTTTTCCCCTCGCAATTATTCCAATTTTTTTTTTTTTTAAATTTCAACTTTTAAATCACATTCGAAAAGGATTTTAATGTCATTTTTTTTTTTTTAATAAATACTAATCTAAGACGCCAATTAAATACTACATTCACCTTCACAATGGTGTGGTGAGCATTTGTTAAAAAACACACAACGTGACGCCATAAAAAAAATATATCTATCCTTGTTTGATACGTGAATACGACAAATTTACCCGTCTCTCTCTAATCCATTCTAAAGATTGGATTTAGAATTTACGGTGTTTCTCGTTTGAACCGCGTTGCCAACTTAAAAAAAAAAAAAATTCGAAATTAATTTTTTTTCAAAAAAAGAAAATTATTTATTAATTATTATTATTAATTTTTGACTGCGGATTATTATGTTTTTTATTTAATAAGATTTTATTATTTTTAATAATAATAATAATTAATTAATAAATAATTTTTTTTTTGTTATCAATTATGTAAAAATAACGACGTTTTTGTTTCTTCTTAATAATTGTAATGATGATGATGATGTTGATTTATTCATTAAGACATAATTATTATTATTATTAATTAAAAATTAAAATGATAATAATGATTTGTAGATCGATTTTATTTTATGTTCTTTTGTAATTTTTAAAAATTATTTTATTATTATTCGTTTATACAAAAAAAAAAAAAAAAAAAAAAAAAAAAAAAAAAAGGGCCCCCGCGTAAATGATGAAAAAAAATTTTTTAAAGATGGATCGTAATCCGTTACTCAATAAAATTGTTTATAGAGTTAACGAAGAATCAAATATAAAAAATCAGGTAAAAATTATTAAAGATTTTATTATTATTAATATCGTTTTTCCGGGTAAATTTTTTTTTTTTCTAATGTGTTTATTCACACGCTGAGAATAATGATAAAAAAAAAAAAAAGTTCAGCCGGTGTCAAGGCATTACGAAAATTTTTATTGACAATAATTTAATAAAAAAAAAAAAATTTGTTTAATTAATATAGTAAGAATTAATGACATCATTTTAACTAATTAATATTGTTATTTAGTTTTTGTAACATACACTACTTATTAATTTCCTTATTTTTTGATTTTGTTTTTTCCTATGTTAAAATGGTAAGACATTTTTTAAAATAATAATAATAATTATAACAGTTGTAATTTTTATCCCTTTCATTTTATGGTTCTTTTTTTTTTTTTTTTTTTTTTAACAAAAATTTAAGATTAAATGTTGTATTGTATTGTAACAATTGTCTATCTCTGTCTCTCTCTTTCTGTCTCTTTTCTTATCTTGAATCATTATCAAGGATTATTTATTATTTGTCATTATGAAATTATTATTATTATTCTCTTTACATGATAGAATCACACTCTTATATTTAAAATGTTTAAAAAAACTTTAAATTTTTTGGTAAAAAAAAAATGATTTCGAATAAATTTAATTTGTTTCGTTTTAAAAGAGGATAATATATATTATCATAATATATTTTTCTTTTTTAGGAGGAAAATTCGAATAAATCATGGATGAATTACATGAAACTCATAACTGTAGAACCTGCAATGTTTCTCTACATGTTGGCATTTATGCTAACTTCGGTGGTGAGTACATAAAAAATTTTTTTTTGAAATCAAATGAAAATGTCTCATTATTGATATTTATTGACAAAAATTTATGTTTGAAAAAAGAAAACATGCATACATTATGGAAAAGTAAAACATGAAGGTAAAATTATATATATAAATGTAAATTTTGAATTTAATATTTTTATTAATTTTTATTCTTTTTTTTTTTTTTTCGAACAGGTGGAACAAGCTTTTTTTATACATAAAGCTTGTAAAGTTCATTTAAATTTCACAGAAGAAATTTGTCAAAATCTAACAGAATACAAGGATAAAAACAAAGAAGTTCAAGTAAGAAAGATTTGGATTATTTAAAAGAATTTTCAAACTGTTTAATATAATTAGGTGTGAAATTCTTTTTTTTTTTTTTTTTTCTTTTTCATTATCTTTCAGTTTATTATTATTATTTATGCGACATAAACTAAAATTTTTTATACTTTTGTTTATAGGTAGTCGTATCGACTTTTCATCAGTACAATGATATTGCATCTCATGTTTTACCAATATTTTTGGCACTTTTTGTCGGAGCTTGGAGCGATCGAAGAGGAAGAAAACTTTTATTTTTATTGGGTTTAGTCGGAAAGGTGTGGTATTCAATTTGGATTGTGATCAACAGTTTGCAAGGTTATGAAGTTTTTAATAAATTAAATTATTATTATTATTATTTTTAAAAACTCCTTACAAAAATTTTTTATATTTATAACGAGAAATTACATTTTGTTTTGCAGATACCTGGACTCTTAATGAAGTTATTTGGACTGCATCTTTTCCATCCGGACTGACAGGAGCTGATTTATCAATTTTTGCTGCTGCTTTTGCCTACATATCGGATATAACAACTGTGGAAAATCGAACAAAAAGAATAACTGTTTTAGATGTAACGTACTTGGCCTCCATGCCTATCGGAGTTGCTCTCGGTTTGTTTTATTTCACCCTTTAAAAGTAAGATTTTATTTAAAACATTTACCCTAATTCTAAACTCCATTTTTTTTTTTTTTGTTTTTAGGAAAATATTTATTTTCATATTTTGATCATTCATATACGATTATGTTTTCTCTTAACTCATCACTTTTACTCATTGCCATAACCTACAGCTTTTTTAGATTGGAATGGTCGACCAATCCCAACCAAGTTCCATATAAGCTGTGGTTTTTAAATAAGAAAAGAGATGATGATGATGATGATGTAAATGGGGAGAATAAAAGATCCACAAACTGCCTTTTAGATTTTTTCAATAAAGATCATTTGATTGATAGTGTGAAAGCGATAATTAAACCGAGAGCAAATCATGGAAGAATATATTTAATCGCTTTGATTTTCTCAATGGGATTATATACTTTTCAAAGAGGTTTTTTTTTTTTGTTAAATTTAAAAAGATTTTTTTTTGTGCGTGTGTCTTAAAGTTTAAAATGAATTTTCTTTTGCAGACGAGCGGCAAATGACGTACCTATACACAAATCTCAAATTTAATTGGAAAGTAAACGCTTTTAGCGATTTTAGAATTTTTCAATCGAGCATTTACGTATTAGGTGAGTGATTTAATTTGGATATTATTAGATTGATTAGGATATTAGTATTATTATATTATTATAAATTTCAGGTACGCTCATGTGCATACCACTGATGGGAAAATATTTTAAATTTACGGATACGACGATGGTGGTGATTGGTACCACTGGTCATTCTCTTGCCAGAATAGTTTTCGCATTGGCTGAAAAACCTTGGCTATTTTATTTTGGCGCCACATTTGCTTCGTTGGGCCCCGTCGTCGCGCCAGTTTTAAGATCCATGGCGTCGAAAATCGTCGGCACCGAAGATAGAGGTAAGTTTTTTTTAATTTCACCTTCATTTAAATTCTTCTTTCCTTTCTTAAACATGTTTTAAAAAAAAAAGAAAATTTTCTCATTTTTCACAGGTAAAGTTTTTGCCGTTCTCTCGGTTGCTGATACCACCGTACCTTTATTTAGCGGAGTCATTTATTCTCAGGTATACAATGCAACAATACACACATACCCAAGTGCCATATTCTGGGTCACAGTTGCAACTCAAATGACTGTTTTTTCAATTGCTTTGTAAGTATTTAATTATGTTTTTTACATTAGTACTCTTTCTGTTCTTTTACAAGACTATGATCATTCATTCATATTTCTTTAATGTTTTTCAGGATTATTCGATTTTCTAGCAGAAAAGAATCGTTGGACAACAATTAGTAAACTTCTAGATTTTAGGTAAACAAAATAATTTTTATAACTTTTTACTTAGTATTTTATTGACATAATTAGTTAAACAATGTTGTATCGTTATAAATAATATTTTAAAAAGAAAGAGTTTAATTAATTATGAAAAGTTTATTTGTTTGTCTCTAAATCATATCGAAGGAAGAAAAAGTAAATACTTGAGGTGATAACAAAACAAAATTGAAAGTAAATGAGTTTGTTTTATTTTGATAATTAATTATTTATTTATACATAAATTGAAATAATTTCATTAATTACAAATCAATTTATCGTAAACTAATTGTTAAAATGACCTATCGACATACAATTATTTTTTCGATTTGGGAGGAACCCACGATTGAATCTTAGGTTTTGTAGTTGAATATGGAACATACTGTTTATCAGTACCAGTCATGTTATAAGATTCCTTAGCAAGCCATTTGTGTTTTGGACGTGAAGGATCCTAAAAAAAAATAACAAAATTTATCAGATTAATAATTCATTTAAGTAAAAATGAAAATGATTATAAATTATACTTATGAAGTTCGAAGAGGAGGAATGGGCAGGAATATTTAGGATCAGGTCAGGAACCTGGATGAAATTTCAACCTTTAAAAAAAAGAAAGGAAGACATTATGTGTGTAAATTTTATAAAAGAAAAAAGTTATCGCATCATTACACACCTCATAGGGAAGAATATCTGTTTTGTAATGAAGCCATCCATACCATTGAGGATCGACATGACTGGCATCATAATCATAACCAAATCGATCTGAATAAATTACCCATCTATTCCTGCCTATAAAAATGAACAATTTTTCAATTTTAAACAAAAAGGATAATCATGAAAGGAAATCATTCATGTGTCACAATCATCAGTGATTTACCATAAAAATAAGAATCATTTTCATAATATTTATTTCCGAATCTATCAGAACCGACAAGTTTTCCAAGTTTTAAGTCATCGATTCTGAAAAATTAAATATTTAACCATATAATTATTTTTTTTACAAATACTTAAAAATAGTTTTAAATCGATTGTACCAAATAATTTTGTAAAAAAAATTATTTTTATTGTGTGATAACAAAATCACTCGATATGATTTGTAAACTGAGCAATTTATACTTGATCACAAATTTCTTACATTATTAAATTATCAATATTTATTTAAAATTTATAATTTTTAATAAATTGAAATAATTTTATTCAATGACTGATTAGAAAGAAATAAAAAAAAATATTGATGATAATGTAAGAAAAATTATCAAGTATTAGAATAATTATTAAAATTTTTACAGGTACGAAATACATACATACATACCTATTTAATTTTATAAAAGATTGAAGAAAACCTCCGTGAGCTTTGATTATTTTCATAAAATTTTGAAATTTATCAAGTCCCAAATAAGACATTTTTACTATTAAATAATAATTAATATTTTTTATTTAAAATCATAGAGTAAAAAAAAAAAAAAGAAGCAGACGACATATTTATATGTGTGTATTTGATTTGCTCAATCTATGTAATGTCGTTTTCAATTAGTTTATAACATTAATTTTATTAATTTTATTAATTATTGTTTTAATTTATTTATAATTATTAACGACCCAAGGAATTATTTATAAAAATAAATAACCATAAACTTATTTAAAATGTCTAAATGTTGACGTTTCGTAATTTGGCTGCGAGATAAATAAAATAAAATGTGCCTTAAAAAATTATTAAATTTTTTTTTGCCGTAGATTTTTTTTTTACATAAAAAATTGCGTTAAAATAATTGTTTGAATTAATTAGAGTATATACAAGAAGGGGAAAAAAAAAAAAGTTTAATAACCGTCATTTTATTTTAATTGTTTATATCATGAGTGGTGTGAGTTTTTAATAATCAACATGGTAAATTTTATAAAAAATTCAATATTAGCGTTATTTCAATTTGTTATTCGTATATTTAAAAAAGCCGTTTGTTGTTTTCGTCGAAGACGTAGATTATCAGGTGATTCCGTTACTTTGACTAATATCGGTATCGTACCCAATGTTGAAAAGGTATAGTGATTGGTTTTAGAAATAATAATAATAATTTTTGTTCCTGTATTTACTGAACGTTATTGATTTTCAGGATTCGGATTTGCAAACGTGGAATTCATGGGATTCAAATTCGATTGATAAAAGTCCCACAATGATTACAACGGTTAAACCAATTGATCCTGTACAACAGCAAATCGAATTGTACAGACAGCAAAGAATTAATTTAGCACAAAATGAAGACATTCCAGAGACTAAAATAGATTATTTTCAAGTAAATTTTAACTTAAAATATTAACTCGATAAAATTTTATACGAATATTAATAATGATGATGTTTTTTTTTTTTTTTATAGGATATGACTCCGAAAATTGTAAGGCAAGCAAAAATGTACTTACCATCCGAAAATGAAGAAAGTATTAATTCATATAATTTTTCATTAGCACCTGATCCTGCATTCAAAGTAATCGAGAAAAAACAAACTCTTTCATTCGATATAATCAATGTGTTATTAATAATTTTTTTTTTTTTTCCAGTCTTCCGAATTAGGGATCTGGGAAGAAAATCAAACTTGGGAAGATCAAACGGAACAAGACTGGGATGCTAATGATATGATTAGAGAAAAGAAAAAAGTCGACAGGGAAGAAAGATTGGCAAAGCAACAGAAAAAGAAAATGGAACGTAAAGCCAGATTACCCATCGGAGTTCCTTCATAAAAAAAATTTTTTTTCTTCTTATGTAAAAAGCAGTCATCAACGACATCATCATCATCTTTATATTTATTTATTATTATTATTATTATTATTTATAATTTTTATTGACTTTACTGTTGATCAAGTGAATAATTTTCGCGAAGGATATTATTGTGAAGATATATAAAAAGCTTTACCGTACAATAAACAAACCGCCAAAAACATTGCATAATGTTAAAGTGTGACATAATTTTAAAAGGATGAAAATCATTGATAAAAAATAAATCAATCAATCAATCAATCAATCAATCAATGAAATTAATAATTTTTATCGATTTATATCTTTAACATCAATTTTTAAAAAATTAGGTCAAATCAATCATTTATTATATTATTATTATTTTTTTTTTTTGTTTCTTATGTGCTGAAGAATCGAGAACTTTTATTTGTTATTATTATTATTATTATTTTTACGGGTTTTTCAATTACGTCAACGTTATGCGTAATTGCAAAAAAATATTATGTCACACGTACGTGCGTATCATGCATATATTTATAACAATTGTTGTACAAAATTTACAGCAAAAGAAAAAAGAAAACGGATTCGTTGATAAATAAATAAATAAATGGGGGGCGAGTGGAGGGGAGGGGAAGGAGAGGGGGAAAATTTTCACGTTCGATTAAATAAAAAATATTTATGACGTCATATTTTTAACTTTCACTTAGTATCGCCAAATAAAAATCTGCTGCGTATCTGTAAAAATAATAATAATTTTTTATAGTTATTCTAATGAGAGAGAAAGAGAAAGAAAGAGAGAGAGAGAAAATACTTACGCCATTGCATGTGGTATGTAAGATTGTTCGTAGGTACCGGTAAATAATTGTGAATAAGGACCAGTGGCAAAAACGGCAACATCATCACCGCCATGAGTTTCAGATTGTAATGGAACCGTACCAGGAAATAAATAATCAATTTTTCCTGTAAGTAATAAAATATTAATAATAATAATGAATTGATTTCCGGTTAATGACAAATGAATTTTTACTAACTTGTATCTTCTTTACTCAGATCTTTTCTTTCAGAATAACCAGGTCCGTTTGCATAACTCAAAGTCGTGTAAACATATCCATCGGTACCTGTACCACCGAAACCTAAAACAACGAGAGAAATAAAAGTGATGGGATGAGATGAAAGGGAAAACAAATATGGCGGCGAACATACCTAAAAGGCTTTCTTTTTCTTTTCCAAAATCATAACCGCTTATGGTCAACGTGTGCGAGTGATCGGAAGTGACGACTATCAAAGTATCTTCTTCGTTTGTCATTTCTACAGCTTTCGCAACAGCTTTTGATAATTCAATTGTTTCATCGAGTGCAACTTGAGCCTGAAATTGAAAACAAATGATAGCGATGATGATGATGGCGACAAAAAAAAAAAAAAAACGTATCGGGACCTTGCTTTCGTGATGAGCTATGTCAATTTTTCCACCTTCGACGAAAAGGAAAAAACCATTTTCACTTCCGGTTTTCTTTAAAACTTTGATGGCCGCTTCCGTCATTTCTTCCAGACTTGGTTCTTCTTTATTATTATTTTCGTAATTGTATTTCAAGTGACTCGAAGCAAATAAACCTGGAAAAGACACAAGATTTAAAGAAATTCTGGAAGGAAGAGGAGAAAGAAAAATCCAAAGAATTGTGCGTAACAATAACCTAAAAGAAAAGATGGAGTCGTCGTCAGTGTTGCCAATTGTTTTCTACTCGACACGTAATTATAATTTTTAATATTTCTTTTTTTTTTATCGTTTATCCATTCTTGAATTAAATTCTTGTTGTCCAAACGATTACCCTTTTCGAAATATTTGTTATATCTTGACGGTTTTAAGGGTAGAAAATTTTTTCTTCCCCCTCCCAAAATGACCTTTAAAGGAAAAAAAGAAATGTTTTTATTTGGTTTTTTGAAAAAACAACAAAAAAATGTTAATTTACGTTGAAATTTTTTCCAGGTTCCCGTAGGACAAGTTGTTCGGCGATGTCATCGTAAAGAACGGAATTAATTTTATAATTTTCCATGGCTCTGTCGGATTCCCATTCGCGATTGGCAACGTGAGCATATGTTCCAGCGGGAGATGCGTGAGTCACTCTTGCCGTAGTCACGAATCCAGTGGATTTCCCTTTAGGTAAAACAATCAATCAATCAATCGATCAACCATTATTCTTTTGTTATTTTCTTACCCATTTTTTGTGCAAAGTAAGCTATCGAATTAACGTGATTGCTAACATTTGCAGAAGCTTCGACATCATTGTATTTCACTCTACCGTTGACACCGATAGTACCCACGTCGGCTTTGACACCATTCAAATACGCTGTTGCACTGCATGCTGAATCAGCAACGCCGTGATCCAAACAGTAAGTCTAAAATGAATAAAATTAATCGTTGTTGTGAGTGGTGATGATGATGGTGGTGGTGGTTGGTTGAGAGTTGGCAGAACTGACTTTAGATAGTCCGCTAACGTGGAAATTTTCAAAACTCAAAGGTTGCGTTTCGGTCAGTGTTAAATTATTTCTTTCTCCTTGAAGAATTCTCGCTGAGGTTATCGTCGGTATCGACATTCCATCACCCATGAAAAGTATTATGTTTTTAGCTTTTCTCTTTCCGACATTGTTAAAATTTTTTAATCTTTCTATCAAATCGTTTTCTGCTTTTTCAAACCAATATTTAGCATCTGAAAGAAACACACACACACACTCTATGCACATTTTCCATATTTTTCTCCAGACATTTTTCTTTTTTTTTTTTTTTTTAAATCGAAATTGTTAACTCACCGTGTTCCGGTCGAAAATCATCAAATTTATTTTTTCTTACGTCATAATGTTTTATAAAATAATGGCCGGAATCGATATTCTTGGGCGGAAGTGATTGACAAACGGTGATAAAACCAAAAATAATTATTAAAAAACTCATTTTTTTTCCCCCCAAAAACGAATGAACGAATTCAAACGAACGAACGAACGAACGAACGAACGGTTAAACAAAATGGCTGCCGCGTGTTTCGATCGATCGATCGATTTGTAATAAATAATATTTAGAAAAATTAAATCAAGTGTAATTGATTATTAGTATTATTATTATTATTATTATTATTATTGTTTTATCAATTAATCGTTTCATATCTGATTAAACGATCAATAAATATGCACATATATGTATATATATATTTCGTACGCAATTTTTTTTTTTTTAAATTTTTTTTTTATTATCAGAATTTTTTTTTTTTTAAAAAAGTTGATTTATTAATTAATCTATCGCATTTTAAATTTGATAAAAAATTAAAATTCAAAACGATTAGTTCGATAGATCGATCGATCGATCGTTCGATATTTTTAATTATCGAGAGAGAGTGTGTGGTTTAACTTAACCTGGCCTTGATACGATTTTTTAATTTTCTTTCTTTTTCCCCCCATTCGAATGGGTTGTTAAAAAGGGATGGAAGGGAGGTAAAGGAGAGGGGGAAGGGAGAAGGGGGAGGGAAGAGAAAAACGCGCGAAAATTTTTTTTTTTTAACGATTTTTTTTTAAATTTTGAAAAAAAAAAAAAGGAATTCGTTATTCGACGCCATTTCTTTCTGTCGATGGATTTTATGTTTGTGACGTCATTTGTTATTATTATTATTTTTCACGATTAATTATCTCGAGTAATAATTAATTTTTGAATAATGAGTTAAAGATGAATTGAGTGGTTGATAATAGAAAAAAAAACACTCGAGATTAATTGAATGTGAATGTTATTATCTCATTATCACGCGAATGACCGCCATTTTGAAAAACCGTTCAAAAGTTTTTCTTTTTTTTTTGACGTATAATATTACGTAATAGCTTTATCAGTTTCCTCTTCAAATTTATTATTATTATTCATTTCCGTTTTTATTATTATCATTATTATTAATTTAACTTTTTCGGATGTGACAGAAAAAAGAGGGAAAAAAAAGAAATTCCTTCCGCCATTTTTTTTTTTTTTTTAGTACGTATACAAGCATATATATATTGTTTTAATGACATTATTATTATTATTATTATTTTAATAGTAAACTTTTTTGTTCCCAAGCTCTTTTATGACATACTGTAAGTCCTTTACCGGTACAACTTGCGTACCTGAAAAGAAAGAAAGAAAAAAAATAGATACCGGATGACGTCACGATTTTGAGTTAGAAAAAATCATTTCTTCGCTTTTCTCACTCACCCGAGTGCGTGTGGTATGAAATTTTGTTCGAATGTTCCAGAAAATAAGTGAGACCAGGGTCCTCTTGCAAAAACTGCAACATCATCTCCACCGTGTGTTTCTTTCGGTAGGGGAACCATAGCGGGAAATCTAAACGAAATGCCATCTGCGGAAAATGAAAATGGAAAAATGTCGTCTGCTATTCGGTGTAATTCCACATAAAAAAAAAAAAAAAATTGGTTACCCGTATTAAATTTTTTTATGTCTAATCTTTTCCCATTCAAATCCGTTTTCCAGTAGCCTGGACCGTTTGCATAGCTCAGCGTCGGATATTGTAATCCGTCCATACCTTCTCCAGCAAAACCTGAAACGATTATTTATTAATATCATTATTATTATCATAACTTGGGAATGTTTTGATGAATGAATGAATGAATCAATCAATCAATCAATCACCGAATATATTATTTCCTTTTTTAGAATATCCGCTCATTGACATGACGTGAGCGTGATCGGCGGTCACCAATATGAGAGTGTCATCTTCATCGGTTAATCTCACAGCAGCCGACACAGCTTTTGAAAATTCAACCGTTTCGTCCAGTGATTTTTGTGCCTGAAAGATAGGTAGGTAGGTACATACGAATAAATTTTTTTTCTCTTTATTTATTATTATTATTATTATTATTATTATTATTATTATTATTATTATTATTATTATTATTATTATTATTATTATTATTATTGATTACTAAATTATCGTGATGTGCCAAATCGATTTTCCCTCCTTCGACGAATAAAAAAAAACCATTTTTATTTTTTTGCAGTATTTTAATGGCGGCCGACGTCATTTCTTCGAGGAGTGGCTCCGATAATTTTGCATCCAAATGAAAATCCATGTGACTCGGTGAAAAAAGTCCTGGAAAAATTATTGCGGAAAATGTGAAAATTCAAATGGATAATTTACAAAAAAGGTAAGAAAAAAATTAACATATTTTTTTTACGCGTGTCATTACCCAAAAGGTATTCGGGGAGCGGATTCAACGTGAGCAAATGATTTCTCGTCGTTATGTATGCGTAACTCGCTTGTCTTTTTATCTTATCTTTTTCCCAGGATTCTATTAAATTTTTACCATCTCGTCTTTTCCCTTTTATTCCCGTCGCATCGACGATTTCCTGCGGGTAAAAACTCCTTCTTCCCCCTCCCATTATAACCTGGAAGTAAAAAGAAAATTTTTACCGTCATGTTTTCCCCGGGGGGGGGGGGTCGATGTACAAACGGAAGATTTTCTATTTTACGTTAAAATCGATTCCCGGTTTGTCGAATATCAATTGTTGAGCAATGTCCGGACACGTGGTTGCATTTTTTCCAGATTTTTCTACTCCCACATCATCTTCCCATTCTCTTTCGGCCGTGTGCGCGTAGAGTCCTGCGGGAGATGCGTGAGTCACTCTCGTCGTCGTTACGAATCCCGTGCTTTTCCCTTAGGGAAACGATTAGAGAAAATTTACTTCCGGTTTGTTTACTTCCGGCGGGTGGTGATGGTGGTGGTGGTGGGGGTAATGAAAAGGTTTACCTGCTTTTTGCGCCCACGTTGCGATTGATAAAACGTGATTCGTGACGTTATTCGCGGATTCGCAATCCATTCTTTTGACTTTTGCCGACACGCCGATGGTTCCCTCGTTGGCTTTTACACCTCCCAGATATGCCGTAGACGTGCATGCCGAATCCGCGACTTGACTATCGACGCAATAAGTCTTTGGGGGAAAAAAAAAAAAAAAGAAAAAAAACATAACACGGTAATTTAACTTTCGATGACGACAACGACAACCGACGACAAACAAACAAACAATCACGATAAATGATAATTACTTTTGCCAAACCTAAAAATGGAAATTCTTCGAAACTTAAAAAATCATCTTCTCCGCTTTTTCCATTGAGTTGTCCTTTGTAGATTCTCGATGCCGTTATCGTCGGTATCGACATGCCATCGCCGAGGAATAAAATAACATTTTTCGCTTCGTTCGTGTTCATTTTTTTTATCAAATTTTTTCTCAGCGTGTCTTGTGCCACGTCGTTCCAATGTTTTTGATCTGAAAACGAACGGGTAGGAAGGGAGGACGGGAAACAAACAAACAAACGTGTGTTAACAATTATTAATTTTAATTTTTTTTTACGTACCGCGTGTTTGTTACGGATTACACACCCACAAACAAACAAACAATCGAACGCGTCAATAATAATAATAATGATAATAATAATAATGAATAGGGAAACGCATTTTTTTTTTTTTATTACTCTCGCGTCGTTAACAAAACGTTTTTTTTTTTTTTTTTTTTTTTATAAACAAATTAATTTTCTAGAAAAAAAAAAAAAAAAAACAATTAAATTTTATTACGTAAATAATAATGATGATAATGATAATAATAATAATAATGACTCAATAAGGAAATAATAAAAATTACTTGGGTAATTAAAAATTACGGCGGGAAAATTAACCGCAAAAATTTTTTAAATTCGTTTTTTTTTTTTTTTTGTTGTTGTTATTATTATTATTATCATTATTGTTGTTTCTTCGAAATTATCATTATTATTATTATTATTTAAAAAAATTATTTATTTATTTTAAAAGTTAATAACATTAACGTTATCATCATTAGTTTATTTAAAAAAAAAAAAAAAAAAAAAAAATTTCAAGGATTTCACGTGGATAAAAAAAAACATTTTCCAGGTTTTGAATTTTTTTTATGCATTGTAGTGTCAATAGACAACCGTCGAGGAATTTTTTTTTTTTTTTTTTTTTTTTTAGAAAAAAACCGTTCGAATCGAGTTTTAATATAATAATAATAATAATAATAATAATAATAATAATAATAATAATAATAATAATATTAATATTAATAATAATAATAATAATTTCGTTTTTTGTAAACGCTTTAAAATCGTTACGATAATGATAATGATAATAATTCGTACCCGTGAGATCAGGTTCATATCTTTCGGCATCTCTTTTACATCTTTTCGGATGGTAGACATCTTCTAAGGTGTCGTCGTCGTCGTCGTCGTCGTGGGTGTCGACGACACGTTCGACATCCGATATCGTACGTTCGATACAATTTATAATAATAATTAATAATAAAATTAATAATTTAAATTTTTTTATCATTTTCAAAAAGAAAAATTATCACACGTTCACGTCACCGTCGTCACCGTGGCCACCACCGCGACGCGTCACCGCCACCGCGACGAAAATCGAAAACGATAATAATAATGATTTTTTTTTTTTCACTTTGATTCGATTCGATTTGTTTCCAGTAAGAGAAATAAGATGATGATGATGATGATGATAAAATCGCGCGCGAACCGGTTACGCGGCGGTAATACTCATAAATACTCGTTATTTTAAACAAGAACCCGGCCGACGTACAGGTATACTGTTCGAGGGATACTGACTGACGTGCAAAAAAAAAAAAAAGTAAAAAAGTAAAAAAAAAAAAAAAAAAAAAAAAAAACTGGCACCACTCGTTCCAAGTCAAGGACATTATTACGGCCCTGTCCTCGCTCAATTGGAATTTTAAAAGACATATCGCCATCGTTTTTTACTAGGTCAAACGTGTCAAGTTGCTGTTGGTTTCACCTAATTAATTATTATTATTATTATTATTATTATTATTATTATTATTATTGTTATTGTTATTATTATTATTATTATTCTTTTTCTTTTGTTAATGTGCGGAAAGGATAATAATGAATGAGTGTGAAAATTATTTATTTATTTTTTTTTTTTACGTGTAATTAGATTAATATTTTTTTATGATCATGTTCTCTTGTAAAATGACGGGTACGAACTCTGGTTTTATTAACGTGGCAGAAACTTTTGTTTTGTTTTATTTTGTTTGGGAGCGGAAGAGAGGGATTCCCCAAAAAATATGAAAATGACGTAAATAAATGAATTAATTAAAATATAAAAAAAAAAAAAGTGGGAGCGTCGAGAAACGACGAGTTGTCGACATTAACGTCCTACAAACGAATAACAATGCCGGCGGGGGGAGGTGGGGGTGAATGGGTGGGATTAAAGGGGGTGGGGAAGTAGGGGAATCACCCTTTTTGTTTTAAGTACGTTGTTGTCGGATGCGCGTACCTGACATTGTAAATTTTTAATTGTTTTTTTTTTTTTTTTTGTAAAATTTTTTAATTACCGTCCATTTTAATTATTATTATTATTATTATTATGTGTTTGTTCTTTTTTTGGACGAGGCAAAGACGTCAAGGTTTTGTAATATTTAGCAAAACCAAGTTTTTAAATTCATAATAATAATAATAATAATAATAATAATAATAAAATTAAAGTCCTCGTCCTCGGAGTTTAAAGTTTTATCATTATTATCATTATTATTATTATTATTATCGTTTAGAATTATGGTGGCACTTTTGCCATAATTTTATATTGAATTTTTCAATTATTTATTATTATTATTATTGTTACGTATTTCTCGGTTTTTACTTATGGAATTTCAATGTTGTGGAATTTATTTAAGGACGACGATGTCAACAAACTTATATTATCGAGAGGGGGGAGGGAAAGGGGAAGTGGGGAGGGGGCGCGGAAAAGATAATGTTGAAATAATCCAAAACTTAATTAAATCTCAAATCAAGTTCAGGGAAGTTGTTTAGCCCTTCCGTCCTCCCCCAAAAAAAAAAAAATCATTTCCGGTTAATATTTTTTTCCGTAAAACGATTCCCCCCCTTGTCTGGAGTTCAATGATACTTTCTATATGTAAATAATAATCGTAAATTTGGTTATTATTATTATTATTATTATCATTACGTACTCGCAAGGTTTATTTTTTTCGAATTCCCCCCCCCTCCCCCCGGGGAAAAAAATGGAGGAAAAATAGCAAACATTATGCAAAAAAAAAAAAAACAAAGAAAACAAATAAAAATTAGTAACGAGTCGTCATTCCATAATAATAATAATAATAATAAAATCGGGGGAATACCCGGATTTGACCAAGTACTCTCTCTCTCTCTCTCTCTCTCTCTCTTTCTCGATTACGTCATAATTTAAAATTTAATCGGTCATAAGGTAAACACGTAAGATGGATAGATTGATTGATTGATTGATTGCGTAAAAATGAGATCGTATTAACGTATTTAACGGGGAGGAGGTGGTGTGTTATTGCCCCTCCTCATCCCCCTCCCCCTCTTTTTTTTGCTTTCGATAATTCAGGGGCGTAATAATAATAATAATGAAATTGATATTTCTCGCCTCGCGGGTTCATTTTATCGTTATAAATAAATAAATAAATAATTGACTTACGAAACTTTTTTTTTTTTTTGTTGATAATTTCTTATCCGGAAAGGGGCGTAACGTTTAAGGGAATGCGTGCGTGTGCGTGCGTGAGTGCGCGTGCGTGTCTGCCTACTCGTTTAATTTTTGTGTTACCTGTAGAAAAAAAAAAAAAAAAATTAAAAAAGTGAAAATTTGCGGAACTTGAAAGTTAAAAAAAAAATTTAATTACCGATGGCGTATGCGTAATAATTATTACGTAACGTCATCACCAACGCATTTCTCCCCCCCCCCCCCCACGCACTTTCCCCCTCGTTTACGTTTGTCATCATCATCATCATCATCATCATTATTATTATTAAAAATCGATTTAAAAAAATTATTTTAAAACTCGGATATTTTTTACCAGGTGTCAAATCGTTAAAAAACAATGGCGTCGAATTATAAAAACCATTCGAATCGAATCATAATTAATCGATAATTTTTTTTTTTTTTTTTAAAAAAATCGAGTTTGACGTTTCACTTCCGGTTTAGTAAGAAATTTGATTTTTTAACGTTCTCCAATTTTCGAGTAATTTGAAGTATTTGATGATGATAATAATGATAAAATTAAATTTTTTTTTTTTTTTTAAATAACGATTAAAGAATAACGAATTATTATTATTATTATTATTATTATTGAGTGACCGGTTTATCGTTAAATACTCGTTCGACAGGAAGTTTTAATATTATAAAATTACAATGTCGATAAAATTTTAATTCGATTTTTTTCTTCTTTTTTTTTTTTCGAATAAATTTTTGCCTCCACGTTTTTTTTAAAGGAAAACTCGTTTAAATATCATCTTTGATTACATTCGAATTGAAATCAAATTTCAAAAAAAAAAAAAAAAAAAATTTAGTTTATTTCGATACAATGGCGAATCGTTTGTTATCGATCGATCGATCGATCGATATCGTTTTATTCCAATTTGATTTTTTTTTCTCGTTTGTTATTGATTGTACATGGCCGTTCCACTTTGGGCGAAAAATTTATTTATTTATTTTTTTTTGGTGGTTTTGCCAGATTAAAACCAGGTTTTACGGACGAAAACGAAAGCAAGCAAAAACCTTTTTTTTTTTTTAGCAGTTTTAATATTTATTTTTAAATCGATTTTATCGATCGACTTTTATTATTATTATTATTATTGTTGTTTCATTTTTAAACACGGCAAGATTTTTATTTGTCGGAGTTATTTCAGGTTCCGACCCGATTCCTTAGGGATAAATGCCCGAATTTCGTTGGTGCTATTTATAGAGTATTTTTCGGGAAAATGTGGGTCATTTCACATAATGCCATTTCCTGTACGGTTTCTTCCTTTAAATTTCCTTTTATTGAATGTGGCATCATGGCTTCCGGTGATGCTTCCACGATGATCGGAATCGTTCCTGTTTTTACTCCTTCTCACATCCTGGCTTTTTGAACCTTTTACCCGCTTCTTTGGGTCTGTCTGGTGTCTTTTTCCGCCGGTACGGATACTTCAATTAATTTGCACCATCTTTTAGCATTGTGTCTCAGTATGATATCCGGTTTGTTGGCTGGCACAGTTCTATCAGTGTGGATTTGTTGATGGTACAGAACCGTGCATGAACCCACTGTCGTAACCGGGGTTTGTATCACTCCTTGGGTAATCCTTCCATTCCATATTCTCGGCATATACTCCAATGGAGATATTTACAGGTTTTATTGTACCTCTCCAGATATTCATGCCTTTAGCAGCTGTAATAAACGCTTCCGTTTCAATCTTAAGCTTTCCACAGTGTTGCCAATCATGCGTGGTCTTCTTATTAGTATCCGAAGCGTTCACTCTCTTCAAATATTGTCCATGCAATCCTTTCTGTTTCCATTTGCCCTTTACCTTCTTCTGAGATTGAGCTTTACTTATTATTATTCGATTTTATGACGAAAAAACTATCATTTCAAATTTTGACTGTCGATAATTTTTTTTTTGATATATATATATATATCGTGTGATAAAATTCCGGAATTTTATAAAAACAAACAAAAAAAAAAAAATTTTTTTTTAAATATGGCGTCGACTTTACCGTGTTATTGTGATTTAAAATTGTGCGATTAAAAAAAAAACATTTAATTTACTTAATTCGCGATGAGAATTCCGTGTAAAAAAAATTTATAATAATAATAATAATAATAATTAATTTGTATGAAGAGTGAGTGCGTCGTCACATGAGTACAACAATTAAATGTTTGAAAATTTTAAAATTGAAAAAAAAATTAAGGATAATCGATAAATGTAGATTTTTACATGGTAAATCATTGCCGCCGTTGGTGAAAGCAAACGAAATCGTCAAAGATGGTTTGGATGATGGTAAATACAAAACGGAAATGGTTCATCACGCCAAAGTGCAAAAGGATATATTCGGTGCGACGATACTCCCGCAGAATTTAAGTTTCGAAAATGCAAAGAAGTTGAGCGAAAATCAAATAAAATTACAGGACATACCGTTGATAGATGAAGATGCGGCCGCGGAGTGTTTGGCCGCGGAAAAAATAAAAGCTCAAACGAAAAGGATACCGAGATTGTTTACGAAAAGAGAAGAGAACGTTCTCGAAGGTGCGGATAACGTACAGGTGGGTGCGAGTCAAGCGGAATCATATTGGTCGGCGGATCCATTCGAAAACATACCCGGTCCGAAATTATTTTTTAAATTTCGGGGTACCACGTTAAAACAAGTGACGCAACAGATAATCGTGTCTACAATATACCGAATAATAACGAAAAGTAATAATAAATTTACGCCGTATAAATACTACGGTCCCATAATAAAATTACCTGAGATTTTAGGAGGGAAAATAATAATAATAAGTCGTCCGGAACACGTGTCGAGCGTTTTCCAACAGGATGATAATCTGGACGCGTCGTCGTCGTCGTCGTCATCATCATCATCATATTTGGAATCCGTTGATAAATGTCGCCGTTTGAAAAAATATAAAAATTCTCCTCCTCCCGTTTTTCACTTATCAGACGAATGGGAAACCGTTAGAAATTCAATAACGGAAATCCCTGTGGAAAGTAAGGAAAAATATTACGATTATTTCGACGAGGCGACGGAAAAATTAATAAACAGAATAAAAATAATACGCAACAGTCAAAATGAAGTACCTGGAAATTTTTTAAAAGAATTAAACAAATGGAGTTTGGAATGTTTGTGTTCTATCATATTTAACAAATCCGTTAGTTTTTTTGAAAATGACGTACACATCGGTGGAAGTTTGTCATCGAAAACATCTCAACTTTTTTATTCGTTAAACGAAGCTACGACAAATCTTTACAAATTAGAAAACGGTTTTCAATATTGGAGATTCATGAACACGACATCTTTGTACTCACTCGGAGCCGCATGTAAAGTTTTGGAGAGTGTCATTTCAGAATATGTGGCACAAGTTCAATTGAACATAATTAAAAATAAAAATAATTGTGGGAGCCTTTGTTGTTCGACAGTCGAAAATTACCTACTGCAAGAAAAGCTGTCTCCCAACGATGTTGTTTCAAGAATACTCGACATGCTTTTGATCGGCATGAACACGATGAGTTCTGCATTAGGGTTTTTGTTTTATCACATATCGACAAATCCTCGAGTCCAAGTTGAAGTTTGGAGCGAGATAAGGAAAATTCTACCTGAAAAATACACCAGGTTGGAATATGAACATTTGAGTTCGTTCAAATACATGCAAGCTTGCCTTAAGGAAAGTCTGAGATTAAAAATGCCCTTACCCATTTATTTAAGAATAATTTCTAAAAATGTAAGTTTGAGTAATTTTCAAATCCCGAGAGGAACAATGATATTAATGACGAATCAAGTTGAATGCATGAAAGAAGATAATTTCGAAGAGCCAGAAGAATTTTTACCAGAACGTTGGCTCGAACAAGGAATGAATCATCCGTTTACATGTTTTCCTCTTTGCAATTATTTCGATGATGGCATGCCGAGAAAGTTGGCAGAGCTTTCAATATGGATTTGTGCTATAAATGTTTTCAGACATTTTACCATCGATTACATGTACGATGATATAAAAGCAACCGTTTCCACTGTTTCATTTCCAACCAAACCCCTGAAATTCACTTTTACTGAAAGATTTAAATAAAAACCATTCATTCATATTTAATATACATATATATACTTATTTGTTAAATGAATGTTTAATTTTTGTATGGAATTGAGGTTAATTTTTAATGTTTTAATGTTTTTTTTTTGTCTGTAATAATTACCGAATACTTATTTATTATTCTTTTAGATTTACGATTCGTTAATATTTTCGTTGGTGATGATTCTGATTAAAAAAGAAAAAATAGCAACAAAAAGAAACAGGAGAATTTAAATATTATTTTGAATCGAAATGAAGTACAGTTTAATGTTTCACGTAACCGTCAGTTGAACTTTGCATTGCCAACTATTGCAAAAAAAAAAAAAAAAAAAAAGAAAGAAAGAAAAAAAAAGCGGATAATGAAATTACTTTTACGTGTCATTAGAAAAACGCAATAATTTAAGTATCGATGGAGTTATTTCGGTCGGAAAAATTTTGTTTTTTAAAAATGTGGTTCCCCGACGGTTATATTAATTTCGGTTGCTATTTTTGATTACGACAATGCAATTTTCATGATGTATTAGATTTAAAAGAGAGAAATGGCTTAAGTCATTAACGACTTGCCAATTTTTTTTCCCCACTTATATGAAAATCAACAACAGCAGCAGCAGGGGACTTTGCAATTATCTTTTAGATGGCAACTTCCAAGGATAGCGGTGGCGGAGTGGTTCACGAATGTTACTTCAGGTGCACGGGTAAAAATCATTCATCTCACCTGACGGCGGTTGTAACAAGAGCCAGACTATCTGATGAAAAAATAGCTGCCTATCTAAAGTGGTGTTGCATTAAATATGCTGAAGCAGTAGATTTACACGGACGTACCATTGTTCATGTTGCAGCATCCAGAGGAAGATTGAAACTTCTTTTGTTTTTATTAAGTCATCCGAATGTCGATGTAAATTTTAAAGATCTGGAATCTGGATTCACCGCTCTTCATCGCAGTTTGTTTTATGGTCAAATCAATTGTGCAGTTAGGTTAGTGCAGGTAATGATATCTCTTTTTAACCTGCATAATTTTTTAGTTTGGTATAAAGAATAATAATAATAATAATAATAATGAAAAGAATTTGATTATACTGTAACAGTCTGGAGCTAATTTGCAAGAAAAAGATCTCGACGATTTAACTCCATTGGATCATGTTATGAAAGATAAACAATCGATTACTTATAACAACACATCATCGAATCCTTCTTATGAAATTTATGTTTGGGGCACAAACACTAGTTTTAATCTTGGAATAGGACACAATAATTCGAAACCTGTTCCGACTCCTCTTGGTACTTTTTTCAAAAAAAACATATCCATTAAGCAAGTTAGTGTTAAATTACACTTTTACATTTTTTTATTTATTTATTTTGATAATTTAAACATAATTTTTTGTTTTTTTTTTTTTTTTTTAAATTTTTTTAAATCATTTTTTGTAAAGGTATGCATGAGCAAATTTCACTCACTTTTTCTAGAGGAAGATGGAAAAGTATGGGTTTGCGGTTTGAATTCACGTGGAAGATTAGGTTTGGGAGATGAATCTACAAGTTTGGTTCCTACAATTCTTAAAGTTGGCAATCGTGCCAACAATCCATGTAAGAGCATAAGCATCGGTTTAAATCATTCTCTTTTGCTGATGGAAAATCACTCTGTTTGGTCATTCGGTTTAAACGATCACCAACAATTGGGTCATGATCCATCTTTTAAAGAAGTGCCTTCACCCAAACTCATTGATACTCTCAAAGGAATTAAAATCATTGGGATAAGCGCATCGAAATGTTATTCAATTTTTTGGAGTAAATACATGGTAATACTTTATTGTAAAATATTTTAATTGAATTTATTATCTCGCACACAAAATTTTTGTGACAAAAAAATACTTTTCAGTTGTATGCATGCGGTTCGAATACGGGACAGTTGGGCGATTTAAAATCAAACGAACCGTTTCCGAAACTTTTAAAAAAATTCGGCGTTCAAGATCCGCCATCGTCGGTGGAATCGAATCGACGTAAGGAAATCCTTCACGTGGCGACTTGCGACGGTGCCATGATAGTTATTTACGATCAAAACGCGTACATATTTCAAAATTACAAATTTAAAAAATTTCGATTCGAGTGAGTATACAAAAGTATATTTAAAACGTCACGAATTAATTACATCATCTCATCGTTATTTATATATTTTACGTTTTAGGCAACCGTGTAAAAAAGTTTGCATTATCGGAGAACGAGGAGAAAATGAAAGTCATTTGAATTACCCGCAAGAGAAAAAAATGGATGAAATAAAAGTGGCGATGCTTTGCGAAGACGATAAAATTTATTTCTGGCGTGAATGTCATCAATTATTCGTCGTTTGCACTCTGTCGTTACGTCGTAATATTTGCATAACCGACATATTTCTCAACACGACATCAATTATGTTGGCGACAAAAGACGGTGAAGCTTTTTTCGGTGACGTCAAAATAAAAAAAAATAAACGTAATCTCTCAAATCCATTTCCGTGCTTGCTTTTCCCAATGGGGAAATTTTACTCACGTTTCAAATTTGTTCGTTTTTCGTCGCATTTCAGCAAATTCTCCGGAACAAAATTCTCCCTGCAATTACGTATTGAAATTGGAAAGGATTCCATTCATACACCGAGCCGTAACCGTAGCATCCGATGTACAAGGGGAAAATTTTTCCGTCATACAAACGAGTCCGAAAAAATGTTTGTCGACGGTTAAATTGGAACCCGTGGGAGAAATGAGAGAAAATATGAAAATATTTTTAAATACCACATCCGAATCCGATACTCTTCACGATGTTGTTTTCGAGGTATATTTCTATACGTATACATTCGAATATTTCATGTCGATTTTAATTAAAGTTAATTTTCTTTCCCCCCCTCCCCCCCCCGTTATTTCAGGTTGAAAATGTTCGATTTCCGGCACATCGTTTCATAGTAAGCCATTGCGAAGTCATGAAAAATATTATTAATAAGAATTCGAAAAAAATCGATGGGAAACAGGTTGTCGTCGTCGTCGTCGTGATAGAAAAAATAAAACCGAAAATATTCGAAAGAATTCTGTCGTACATTTACACGGGTGATTGCGATTTGTTACATCCTGGAATTTGTCCAATCAGGTATGGATTTAAATATATTTGGAAATGTTGCTGTCAAGTTTCCATTATTATTATTATTATTATCATTGTTTTATTTTTGAAGCATTGATTTACCACCGAACGCAGCGAGAGGAGAAGACGAAGAAAATGGTGATGGCGGCGATGATTTCAACATGGAGACGTCAACGAATCCCGAAGAAATGTCAGCATTCGAATTCTACAAACGGTCATCTTGGAATAAGAAAAACAGTCCGTCGAAAATGAATAGTAGGAATAAAAATTTAAATCCTCTCGGATTTCTCAAAGACGCCGCAAAAATATTCTCCCTCGCGGATTTAATCGAAAAATTAGATTGTTTGTTTTACGATAACGGTTACATTTGTAAGAATAAAAATCGAAAAATGGATGCGTCGAAATGGCCGACGTTTCAACGGAATAATTTCGCAAATATTTCGGACGTCAGTTTTAAAACCGAAGATGGTAAAATCGTCAAAGGTCACAAATGCGTTTTAGTCGCGAGATCGGAATATTTCAATTGTTTGATTAACAAAGGTTGGTTAGAGGTGAGTTTTGATTGATTGATTGATTGATTGAAAATAATAATCGATTTCCCCCCCCCTCCCCCCCATTCATCGCGATTTTAATGGTCGTTTTTTTATCCCCTTAGTCGTATCAGAAAACGCCCATCAATCTTCCAATACCGAGCGCCATATTGGAAATTCTTTTCGATTACCTGTACGAAAACGAACCGTCGTCGAACCTTCTCGAATCTTCGGATACGAATTTTTTACATCAAGTCCTCGTGACGTCAGATCAAATTTTTTGCAACGGTTTGAGACGCGTAGCCGAAGACAAATTGCAAAAATGTTTGAATTTGAAAAACGTCGTCGACATGTTGCAAACGAGCGTGACGTTCAACGCGAATCAATTGAAACGATGTTCGATGGAATATATTTGTTTGAACCTGACGGAAATATTAGAATCCAGGTACGATTGATGAATCCAGGTATAATGATGATGATAATAATAATTCCGGCGTTGTCGTTTTTTGAAAATTTTTTTATTGTTTCGTTGTTTGCGGATAAAGAGGCCTTGAAATTTTGGACGATTCCATTTTGAATGAATTAACGGAATATTATCGGAATTGGTTGCCGTGCATGACGAGGAGAAACATTGTGACGACCGAGGACGAAGAACCCGCCGAGGATTTCGTTGAAAAAATACACGCGACCGAACCTGTTTCCTTCGAAAACTTCGAAAAAGAAATTAAAAAATTAAAAACGGTCGAATGGAAAAAATCGTCGAGGGAAAAAGTGCAGAGGAAAAAGACGAAAAGCGAATCGGAAAGATTCGTATCGGATTCGATCGTCGGTGAGGAATCGAAACTATCCACGTGTAAACACGTGGAAACGTTTGTCGAAAGCGTCAAGGAAAAGAAAACAAACGACGAGGAAACTTGGATCAAGGTCGGTGTTGTTAATCTTCAACGGATGTGTCGAAACGGTCGATAAAAATGGAAAAACGTCGTTTTGCAGGTCACGAGTCACAGTTCGAAACAGAACAAGATGAAAGGTACGAAATCATCGACGTCACCATCGAAAACTCCTCCGTCGACGACAACGACGCCACCGATATCCATTCCACCAAAATCGACGACCGTACCTATTACCGTGCCTAAGGTCGCTGCCGATAGACATCATCAAACATCTCCTCCATCGTCCACCGTCACGAGAACGAATAGTTTTAACGATTCCGAGAAAAACGTTTTGATTTTAAGCGACTCGTTCGAAAAAGAATTTCCATCGTTGAATTTTTCTCCCACCGAAAGACAACAAACAACGACTAACAATCTCAGTCCGAAAAGGTATTTTAGGTTTTTTGTTGTTGTTGTTGTTGTTGTTGTTTACGTCATCGTTTTGTTACGTTAAAATTTTTTTTTCTTTTTGTTTTGCAGTCCCATCAAGATAAACATGATGAATTTCGTAAAATTATCACAGAAACAAAGGAAAAAGTTGGCAATGGAATCGATGAACGAAATGGTAAAAATACCTGAAAAATCTCCAGAGAGTGCGTTAAAATGCGTTTGGGACGTGTCGAAATTAGAAACGGATTCAATGGCGGACATAATTAAAAACGAATATCAATCATTGAAATCGCCCGGGTGAGTAGTGAGTGAGTGTGATGCGCTGGTTCTCACGCTCGTGGAAAACTTGAACGTTTTATTTTTTATTTTTTATTTTTTTTTTTTTTTCCAGAGGATCCATATTGACGTCGTCGAGCACGACGTGGCAAATGCCTTCATCACCGCTTTCTAGTTTTTCCGCGATAATGGCCGCGGAAAGAAACGAAAGGAATCAAGTGGCGAGAATGAAATCCAAATCATTGGAATATACTCAAATGGAAGAGAAAGCCATTGACGATTTAAAATTATTGTACAACGTATCGAACGTGACGGATGAGAAAATAACAATCGGGAGAGCGGAAACGGTTTTCGTGTCACCTCCGGTGTGGGTGTCGAGTCATAAATGAAATTTTTAATTCCCCCCCCCCCGTTCGCCTTTTTTCCTTTTTAAATTTTGTTGTCATAATTTTTTAGAAGGAATCGTTTCCCCCCATTTACGTGCAATATCAAGATGGATGATAATTAATTAATTAATTAATTAAATAGATATTTTTATAAATCATAAATGTAAGATGGCGTCCAGAGTATAAAACAAAGAGAAAAAATGAAAACATTGATGGTAATTGAATAAGTTTTAACGGTTTTTCTCTTACATGTCGATTTAGTGTTTTTTTCAAGTACAATTATATTTTTATATTTGAAAATAATTTAAAAAAAAAAATTAACAATTGTTTATTATTATTATTATTATTAAAATAAATTAGAATTTTGTTACCTTTAAATTATTATTACTATTATTATTATTATTATTATTTAGTTTTTATTAATTTTGTCGTTTAACGTTTTTTGTTTTTTTTTTTTTAGGAAGGAACAAATAAGAAAATCGTTAATTACGTTTCGAAAATTTCACAGACGGTAGCGTAAGAAAAAAATGAATTATCGCGGAGGCATTGTAAAAACAGTTTTATAACGGCGGCAGTGCGCTTGCGCAAAGTATCTATGGCGGCGTGAGCGAATTTTTTTGTCAGTATTTTGTTTACCGAAAAATTAACAATATTTTTCAATAATTTTAACTGCTACACATCATTTTGGTAGATGAAGGTAAGGAAAATTATTATTATTAATAAATAAAATGATTAATAAATGAATGGTGCGTGTGTGCAACAAAAAAAAAAAAAACAAAAAGAAAAATTTCGTTTATTCGAAAGCTTGTTTAATAGAGAACCTGAGTGATATGACCCGTGGCTTGAAAAGCCTTACTACATTCACTGTGTTTTCCATCATCGGAACTTATTTTGTACCCATTATCCCGATTCTGTAAGTTTACCATATGAATTTTTATTTTAAATAGTATTATTATTATTATTATTATTATTAAAAAAAAACGTTTTTTTTTTTACACGTAAAAAATGTTTTAATTAGGTGAGGTTACTGTCATGAACTTACCGTACGAGCTTAAGGTGAATGAAATGGCTTTGTTTTGATTTTTTTTTTTCTTTTCTCCATCTTCTTCTTTTTGCGTTTACATTTATGCTCGCCTAAAAAAATTTTTATTTCAAATCTTACGTCATATTTTATTATTTGTTTATAGCATTTTATTATTATTATTATCATTTTAAAAACATTTATGTTAAAAACAATCCAGTGGACACAGTAGTAGTAGTAGTGCTAATGATATCAACTCCAATTTAAATTGATTTATTTTTATTAATTAACCCCCTTTTTATTATTATTATTATTATTATTATTATTATTATTATTATTATTATTATTATTATGGATAGGAAATTATTACAATTCGGTGGTTTTATTCAGGTTAAATTGATTCATTCATCAATCATTTCGATTACTCATCATAAATGGTTCTTGACATGCCGAAAGGAATTTCATTTTTTTTCCACCATTTTCGCAAACATTTTACCGAATTGCAATCTGTGTTTAAATTTTTGTAATATTATTTACATGAAAGATGAATTAAATTCAAGCACAACAGATTGAGTAGTTTAGTTTTTTTTTATTTTTTTAAAAAAATTAAAGGGGTTATCCTCATGTCGAATGAATAACATTTACTCGAAATATTCTCAATGCGAAATTAAGTCATATATTTTGTTATATTATAATAACATTGACAAATTGATAGTCTTTTTCTAGCTGTAAATAATGAATCATAGAAATTAGTGCGAATAATATAATTTACAGTTATTATGAATCGGAGAAATTGTAGTCGAGTAAAAGTCGCAGTCGATATGTTGTCAGAGTTATTATTATTATTATTATTTTACATAAATTTTTATAATTAAAAATTAATCAATCGATTTTTCAGTATTGTTTCCTTTGGAAATAAATATGAAATTTTGGTTTACCCCCCCCCCCCCCCTTTCTCCCCCAAAAGGAAAAACTATCACTTTCGAATGTTTAATACAATTTTTTAAATGTGAGTATTCGAACTATTGTCCCATTGATTTATTGTAGATACACATTTGTAATTGGTTTAGTGGTGCATAATGTCCAAAACAATCTTTGAAAAAAAGAGAGAGAGAGAGAGAGAGAGAGAAAATTCATCATCATCAGGTTTTAGTTTAGGTTTTAATTTGGGGGAAAGGTTAATAAGGTCATAAGGGGATGTTTGTGTTATTTAATTATTATTTCACGTAACGAAGCCATCGTTTCCGGTGTTTAGAAAAAAAAGAGAAAAAGAGAGAGTGGGTGAGAGAGTGAGAGAGCAAGAGAGAAAAAATTGATCATTATTATTATTATTTTTTTGTTACAGGTTCAAAGATGTCACGGAATTATAAAGAAAAGTACGAGGTCAATAATGCGAGACGAAGTCACACTTTTATGTCGGCTGATGATGTGGCTGCTGGTAAAAAGTCATTTTGGCAAGAGTTGGAGATAACAGGATCGATTAGGAACCTAAGTTCAAATTTGTGGCAACTTTCGTTCCTCACATCTTTGTACCTGAATGACAATTGCCTTTCTCGTCTCCCCGGCGACATTGCCAAGCTGACCAATTTGCGAACTCTCGATTTATCTAATAACAAATTACGTAGTTTACCCGCAGAGTTGGGCGAGCTCATCTACCTCAGGTGAGTGAGTGAAACAGAGAGAGATAGAGTGTGTGTGTGTGTGTGTGAGAGAGAGAGAGAGAGTTTTTTTATAAATAAATAATTATTTAAATGAATTATTATTATGAAACGCGGATACCGATGACCCGATTCCACGGGGGGGTCGGTCCGCAGGTTAACGAAGTCGGGTTTCGGGTCGAAAAATTACGTAATATCAAATGTGAAACGTAATAATCGAAAAATTATTATTATTATTATCATTTCTTTTCTTTCTTTTAGTAAGTAGTGGTAATAGAAAAAAAAATTTTCCTAAAAGATGTGGATTCTTGGATAGAAACAGACCCATTAACACATAAAAAAAGAGAGAGAGAGAGAGTGAGATAGAGAGGGGTATATATTGAGGAGAGGAAAATTCGATCACACATTCGAGTTTAAACAAATTAGTGGGGAAAAAGAAAAAAAAAAGAAGGAAGATACGCACACGCACACACACACACAAACAAGTCATTAATTACAGCAAAGAGAGAGAGAGAGAGAGAGAAAATTAAACGTACCTTAAATTTTTTTTACATTACGTATTAATTGTACAGAAAAAGTTTTTAAAAAGTTATTCACATCGATTTTCCAGAAAACTATTCAAAAGTTTAAAAGAAACCGAATTTATGGGTTCCCCAAAATAAAATTAATTAAAGAAAAAAAGGAAAAAGGAAAAATTTGAAAGTGAATATTTTTAATAATAAATTGTAAAATGTGTGATTTGAAGGCTGTTGACTAATGTTGTAAATGTCAAAGAAAATTGGGGGGGGGGGTTTCTTGGTGTTATAAACGTGTGTGTGTGTGTGTGTGTGACCCAATAAGGAAAAGTTGTTTTCAAAAGAAAGAGGGAAGGGAAAGAGGGAAAGTTTAAACCTGTCGTGATAAGAGACAAAATGAATACAACGTGATAAATGGAGAAATCTAAAGGTTGGGGGGTGAGTGAGGGGCGTAGGAATGAATGGTGGGGGGTGAAAGGTTTTTTTTCTTTTTTTTTTCTAATGTTTTTCTTTTTTCTTTTTGTTTCAGGGAGTTATTATTGAATAACAATTATCTCCGCGTGCTTCCGTACGAACTCGGAAAACTTTTTCATCTGCACGTTCTGGGGTTGCACGGAAATCCTCTGAATAAAGACGTTTTGGCTCTCTATGGCGAACCGAACGGAACGCAAAAACTACTAACCTACATGTTGGATAATCTAAGAGGTAAAGAAAAACTAAAAATTATTAAAATCGCCGCTCATCATCATTATCATCATCATCATCATCCGAAATTATGTCGGGTTTTGATTACAAGATAAGAATAGGCTTTATCACTATTATTATTATTATTATTATTATTATTATTATTATTATTATTATTATTATTTCGTTTGAGTTTTTTAAATTTTTAATATGGCGCCAAGAAAGTTTAAAAATGCAAGCGAGGCTTACTTTCTTTTTCGACCCAAAACGGGTCGTGTTTGTTATTAAATGTTATGAAAAAAAAAAAAAAAAAAAAAAAAAGAAAAAAAAAGAAAAGTAAAATCGTTTTCGAAGATTATTATTATTATTATTTTAGTCGGATTTTCGATTCGCGCTTTTGCCATTTTATTATTATTATTATTATTTATTTTATTTAATTTAATTTTTCGGTTTAACGTTTGCGTTCGATTCGATTGTAAAAAAACTTTCTTTTTTTTTTTTTTTTTTTCTTGACGTCATATTTGTTGTTGTTGTTGTTGTTGTTGTTTGATCTCACGATCAATGTTTGTTGAATTGTTGAAACTGATTCACTTAAAAAATTTTTAATTGTAAAAAAAAAAAAATTCGCATGTTCTCGAAAAAATTTTCACCCGCCGTTTTCCTAAATGGAAAAACGTTGGAAAAAAGAAAAGAGGAAAAAAAAAAAAAAAAAGAGTTTCATGGCAGCGGTGGGATTCGAACCCACGCCCTTTCGGACTGGTGCCTAAAACCAGCGCCTTAGACCACTCGGCCACGCTACCTTGCGGCAGAGACACATCCAAACGACTCGTTTAAATGAACCCCCCGTCTAAGAGATTTCGCATTACGGAACTTTAAATTTTTTTTTTCCGTGACGTCAAAGCAAAACGAAATTTCTTACTTATATTATTATTATTATTATTTTTTAATTTAGATATTGTGTAAAACTCGAATGAGATAATAATAATAATAATAATAATAATAATAATATTCATAATTGAATTTCGTCGAATGCGTATATAAAATATTTCACAAGACAAAAAAAAATTATTAAAAATAATTTATTTAAATATTCGATTTGAAAAATAACGAAAATATTTCACTTAAGTTATTACGTTAACGTGGCACCAGAATATTGTATTTACTTGAAATTGAATAAAAAAAAAAAAAAAAAAAAGTTTTTTCTCACGCGGCGGAAAAAAACATGGCGGCGAATCTTAATTTTTTTTTTTTTTTTTTTTACTAATTCAAAATTATTTCAGAAAAAAAAAAAATTTATTTTATTTATTTATTTATTAATTTTTTGCTTTTTTTCGTTTCAGGTGAGTGAATTTATTTATATTTTATGCAAAAAGAAATCTTCGTGTCGGCGGAAATGGATGGAGGACCGTTTTACAATTCGAAGAGTATGTAAGTAAAATTTCATTTTTTCCTTCTTTTTCTTTTCATCGTTTCTGTCTTGTTCGTTTCGGGGTTGTCTGCTTCCCCGATCCTTTGAAATATGAACGTATGATCGTGTCGATAGTGGTGGTGGTGGTGGTGGTGCAGGGGCGGTGGTTGTCATGACGGTGACGACGTTTGTCACCCGCAAGTTTGTTTACCCCTTAATTTCCTTATTCGGGTATACTCTCTCCTGCCGAATTTTTCGTCGTTATCAAGGGCTTATTATTATTATTATTATTTATTTAAAACATTTTTTTTTTTTTTTCAATTATCATCATCATCATTATCATCGTTTTTTTTTTTTTTTTTTCACTGTCGAAAAGTAATACGGTCGTAAATAAACGGTCGGACGACACATGTTTTCGCAGACATTTTTATTATTCGTTTTTTTTTTTATCTACGTCATTAAAAAATAAATAAATAAGTAAATGAGGTTGTGAGAATAGTTGTTGTCATTATTATTATTATTATTATTTCTGATTCGTGCATCCGTCGGGGAAGAAGAAAACGTAAACAAAAAAGAGGGAAAAAATACGCGCAAGTTTACCGCAGCGATCTCTTTTCGAGGGTGAAAAAATCTGTTCAGTGTTGCCAAATTGATTTGTTGTTGTTGTTGTTGTTATTGTTGACGTAGTCGAAGGAAGATGGAGGCAGATTCGTGGAAGTAGATGAACGTGTCGATGAGGGAAATTTTTCTTTTAAGTGATGATATTTCGAGTGAAAATTTCATTCGGGGGACTGACTTTTACTTTTATTATTATTATTATTTTCTTGTTCTTTGTTTAAAAATAATTGTCGCAACGATTTAAAGGGAAAGTTATATATTTATTTAAAAGATTTGGAATCCATTTTTTTTTTTTTTTTTTTTTTTTTAAATGGATCCCTCCTTTCATTTTTGTTCAGTTTTTTTTTTTTTTTTTTGCTTTATCAATTCACGTTAATCGCTCGATATTTTTTCACGTCTCGATGCACTCGGAGTAATTTCTCTCTCTCTCTCTCTCTCTCTCTCTCTCTCTTCCTCTCTCTCTTTTCTAGGTTTTGAATAGTTTGATGAGCATCTCTTGTAAAAATACTTTAAAAAAAATTCATTTCGAAAATTCTACTTTTTTTAAAGTTTGCCTTGGAAATCGAAACTAAAAGTTTTTTTTGTGTTAATTAAAAATGCACCGAGTTTATTATCATCATCATCATCATCATCATCATCATCATTATTATTATTATTATTATTATTATTATTATTATTATTATTATTATTATTATTATTATTATTATTATTATTATTTTTTGAAGCGACGAACTTGCAAGTCATTTTCTTTTCTATTCCGTAAGATTAAAATTTTATATATTTTTTTTTTTTTTTTTTTTTTTTACGGTTGGTATCAGACGGGGGGGAAATTATGCACATGCATCATGTGAATTATTTTCTCTTTTCGTAATCCTATTTATTATTATCATTATTATTTGTTGGGGGCGAAAGGGGTGAGGGGAGGGCGAATAGGGAGAATAGCAATACGAGGCTCGTTATTGTCGTTAAACGTTACATGGAAAAAAATTTACGCTTGGTTTCAAATACGGGTCATTTTCGCCTTCGGTAAAAAAAAAAAAAAACTTTTACGGTCGAAGAAGTATCCGTACCGTATCGATTTTGTCGAAAAGAAAACAAAAGATACCTCCCCCTCCTCCCCCCCTTCCCCTCCCCCTCCCCCTCTATCTCTATTGGTCGTTTGTGTTAAATTTAAATAGAAAATAACGATAACAATGTAATTATTTATTTCGTTCGTCGCCGTAATTATCGCGAGCATCATCATCATCATCATCTTTTACGTCATCACCATCATCATCATCATCATCATCGTCATCATCACGAACGATTTTTTTGGAAAAGTTAAACGAAAAAAAAAAAAAAACATTTTTTATTATTATTCTACTTTTATATATAAATTAATCATCATTCATCCATTTTTTTTTTTTTTTCTATAATAACATTTCTGAATCATATCGACGTCTAATTTGTTTTATTATTATTATTATTATTATTATTTTTATTATTACCAATTTTTTATTATTATTATTATTATTAATGTGAAATCGAAGTAAATGTCACGAGTTGGTAACCCTGTTTTATTTCACACGTTAAATTTACTGTTATAAATCGATTTTTTTTTTTTGGATTTTCGTTAAAAAAATCGATTTACACATCTTGGAGAGAAATGTTTTTCTTTTTCTTTGTTATCTACGTAATGGATTCGAATAATAATAATAATGATGATGATGATGATGATGATGATGATGATGATGATGATAAAATTGTAAAAAAATCGAAAATCGAATATCTCGATGGTGGATGATTTCGCGTTCGACGATCGTAAGCCCCCCGTTTATTGAGTTCGTTACAACACAATGTGAAAGGTTTTTTTTTTTTTTTTGCGATTTTCTTACGAGATAAGGAGAGGAAGGTACGTCGAAAAATTTCCTAGGTACGTGGCAAAAGAAATAATTTGAACTTTAAAGATTTCGTGGCATTTATTTTCTCTTCGATAACGCAAAAAAAAAAAAAAACGAACGCTCGAAATTAAATTTAAAATTTTTTGTACTCAATGTTTGTATGTGTGTGTGATAGATCACGTAAGAAAGGTGGGTTGTTTGTTGTTTGTCGTTTGTCGTTGTTTTTTCTCCGTAGTTTTGTAAATACGAACGGTCGGCGTTTGTTCCTTCCTCTCTCTTCTCATCTCATCTTATTTATTAATTTACTCGAGAGTGACTAACTCTAACTTGGTTTTGTAGAGAAAACGTTTTTGGACTTATTCGAATCTCTCTCTCTCTCTCTCTCTCTCTCTCTCTCTCTCTCTCTCTCTCTCTCCTTTTCTCTCTCTCACGTGAAATAATTACGTAGAAAGCCGCCACCGGCAATTGAAATTCATTGCTCCGATTATGCTCCGTGGAATTATGTCTCCACTTTCACCAAATCTCCTTTTCGTTGGTAGTATTTTCTATACACACGGTTTCGGTGTTACGAGGTTACTCATCATCATCATCATCATTATTTCGAATTTGTTTTCGTATTTAACGGCGGGAAGGGGGAGGGGAGGGGAGAGGAGAGGAGGGGAAAGATATGCGTTTAGGGAAAACGATTTCGTTTTATAATGACACGAGTTATTATTGTTATTATTATTGTTAGACGAAAAAAAAAAAAAAATACTTTTACGGTTTATACTCGTATCGACGAATCACACGAGCAAACTGATGATTCTCATTTTATACGAAGCCGAAAATGATCGTTGTACGAAGAGTTAACATGGAAAGTTGCCCATTCGGATTTGGAGTAGGGAGCGTGTGTAATAAAATATAAGAGTGAGAGAGAGAAAGAGAGAGAGGGGGAGAGAGAGAGAGAGAGAGAGAGGGAAAGAGTTGCTCAGGTAGCCGGGGATCGTCAGGTGTTTCATTTGGTTCAGTTTGTTTGTTAGTTTGTTTGTTAGTCAGTTAGTCAGTCAGTCAGTCAGTCGCGAGTCGGAACGACGTTAAACGCGGACTCGGTCGAGTAAAATTAACGTTGGGAAAAATATCGTCGTTCGTTCGAGTGAAATTTTTTTTTTTTTTTCCGAAGAACGATTTTTTTAAATTTATTTAAATGACGTCGAGTTAAATTAAGGAAAATTATTAATTAATTAATTTATTTATTTATTTACGGTAATTTTTTTTATGATACTGATAAAAAAAATAAAAATCGCGTTCGGAAAGTTTATTAAAATTAATTATTTTTACAAAAGACGAGCAGCAGCAGTAGCAGAAGTGGCAGCAACATCGTCGTGTACGGTGAATGACGTTTGAAAAAAGTGTGTGCGTGTGGAAGAATGAATTTTAGACATTTAGTGTTCGTCAAAGGAAAAATATCGGGTAGTAAATCATATATGCGGATTTAAATTATAATACAATGAGCCCTGCTTCGCAGGGTAATTTGGAAGTGGAACATTACATCGGTAGTAATTTGATATCGTCGTTTGCGAGAGTCAACAATTCTCGAAACAATGGTAAGGGACGAAAACAAGATGGTGGTAAAATAGGGTTGCAGAGAGGAAATCAAAATTCTTGCAACGGTGGCGATGTGTATCATCATCGTCACGGCGGCGGCGGCGGCGGCAGCGGTGGAAGACAGGGATATTCCGTTCCCCCCAACATTTTACCCCATTGCCCATCGAGAAACAACAATTTGACGAATCGCTACGGAGCGGCTGGTTGGACGGGAATACCACTCATTTCCGTCGACGACGGGAAAAAGAAAAATTTACACTATCAAGACCGCACGCGTAAAATCGCGACGGAGGACGATTCGACATTGCGAATACCCCTGTCGCGTTTGGCAATTCACACTCAGGGAGCTCCGCTCATATTATCGGGAAGATGCGGTTACAAGAATCAAAACAGAGGGAATCAAACGCGAGACGGTGGGGAGGTAGTCGTCGTGAGACGTTCGAATAAATTCAAGGATAACGTCGCGCACAGAAATGCAGGAACAACGAGTGATTGTTTGAGCGTGGCCAGTGACGAAAGTTCGGGTTCGGGACAGTCGGAAAATTGTCTCCCGCGAATAATCAAACCTAGGAAAAGGCGGAAAAAGGATAGGAAACCCTCGATTCCATCGTCGGAGAGTTACGAGGAAAATGGGGGAGATAAAATAAAAAATTCGACGTCGTCGTCGTCGTCGTCGTGCGCGAAGACTCGATCCGAACCTGTCGCGGTTGTAGACGTGGGTAAAAACTACACACCGAAAAAATGTGATAATACCAAAACTACAATAATAAATGGATCTCAAACGGATGATGGAGGAAAAAAAAATATGGAGGATGAATCCCACGGTCCGAAACTTCATCACGCTTTCGAAGACGTTACCGAAAGCGATTTGCCTTCTTACGGTTGTTTGCCGTCGTCGTGTCAGTGTCACTACTGCGATCCTTCCGGAATATGGAACGCGCCCACAAATATATTTTTCAAAGAAACGGAAAATTTATCCGCTTTGTTGTTGACCCCACCGTACCGCGCGAACAAAACCTTTCACCCGTTTCCACATTCGGAATTGGTTTTGAGAAGGAGTTGGAGTGAACCCATATCGGATGTTGCGAGAAGAGATGATCAAGATTTCATTTTCTCGAAGGTTTCGAAGGAACTTCCGCTGAGGTCTCACTCGTTCAGCGATTCTTTTTCTTCTTGTTCTTCTTCTTCTTCTTCCTCCCCCCAGTCTGGGATCACCAAGGATCATCACTGGAGTGGTGATAAAATGTTCAGCGGTAGTTGGGAAACGATTGAAAAAATCGATTCGGACCCGGAAAAAACGAACAAAAAGAAAACGAGTTACGGAAATCAGTGTTTGGAAGTATCGACGGAAATCGTGACGTCTCATAACGGACATCGAGATATCGAAATTCGATTTTATTCCAGTTCGCCTACATCGTGAATTAAAAAAAAAAAAAAAAAAAAAAAAAATTTTTTAAAACTTTTTTACTATTATTATTATTATTTTTATTATTATTATTGTTTTTATTATTATTATTTTGTATTATTATTATTATTATTTTCATTTTTTTTTTTTCCTCTTTTGAAATTCGTGTGCGTGTGAGTGTTAACACTTCAGAGCAGCAGAGCATATTAGGTCGTGGCAGAAGAAGGGGAAGAGAGGGAGTTAATGACTCGCGATTGACTCGTGACACGTTCGAAAGAAAAAAATAATTAATTGTTTGTTCGAATCAATTTTGCAAATAAAGATAAAATTGTTGAAAATGGTTTCTCTCTACGAAAAAAAAAAAAAAAATGTTTATGCGTATTTACATGAGGCCGTTTTTAAATATTCTCAACGTTAATAATAATAATAATAATAATAATAATTCTGACCTAGTTAGTTATTTATTTACACGTTCTCCTAGTAGTAGTGGTAGTAGTAGTGGTAGTAGTAATAGTAGTTTACACTACTTAATGAATTATTTAGTAGGGAGAGAGAGAGAGAGAGAGAGAGAGTTGGCATAATGTTTTTTTATATATATTTTTCCAGCAAATTTCACAATTACTGGAATCACCTTTGAGCGTTTTTTTCTTTTCTTTTCTTTTCTTGCTATTTATGTTTTCTTATGTCTTTGCCGGTTACTGACTGGAAAACAAAATGACCATCGCTGGACAAAAGCTGTCGTCCTCCTCCTCATCGTCGTTGATCGTTGTTAATTGTTATTATTATTATATTTTTTTTTTTTTTAAACGAGAGTAAAAAGATAAAAATGGCGTGTGGTCATTTAATTCATTTCAAACGAGAGAGAAAGAGAGAGAGAGAGAAAGATGTATGAGTGACGAAGTAAAAAGAGAGACTGACTGTAAGAAAGAAAAAGTGAGTAAGGAGAAAAAAAAAAAAAAAAAAAGAGAGTAAGATGATGAATGATATGACTGATGGCGACGACGACGACGACGACGACGACGACGACGATGATGACGATGACGATGACGATAATGATAGTAACATTAATGGTTACGACGATGGTAATGATAGTAAAGTAAAAAACCAAAAAAAAAAGTGAAAGCAAAAGTAAAAAAAAAAAAAAAAGAAAAGAAGAAAAAGGAGAGAGAGAAAGAGATAGAGAAAATATGTCCTAGTTTGCTCTGGTGTTTCTTCTTTTTTTTTTTTGGGGGGGGGGAGGGTTTCCATTCACACGAATTTTATTTTTATTGTCACTGGAAAAGAGATTTTTCCAGAAGAGTGTTTGTTTGTTTATTTGTTGATGTTTTTTTTTATATGTTTATTATTATTATTATTATTATTATTATTATTATTATTATATAATAAATAGAGTTTTAAAAAAATATATATATATAATTACGATTAACTGTTAAAAATGGCGTGTTCATTATCAAAAAAAAAAAAAAAATTATCATTTTGTATATATATATATATATATATATATATATATATATTTTTAATACGAAAAATTTGATTGCCTTATTATTATTATTATTATTATTATACGCCTTCGCACTCGGTGTGGTTGTTGTTGTTGTTATTGTTATTCGTTTGTCGATTTTTTTTGTTTGCGATGACGTTTAACGGTTTTAATAATTGTAATCAAAATTTAAAACTTTTTTTTTTTTTTTTGCTTTAATTCACATAAAATTTAAATGTTTTTGTTGTTGGTTGTTGGTTGTTGTTTGTTGTTTGTTGTTGACGTTATCATCATCGTCATCACTATTGCATTTCTTTCAGATTAAATAACAAAAAAAAAAAAAAATAAGATGGAATACGGGATTCGATCGAGGGTCGATGGGTCGTCATCGGGTTTTTAAAGTCAAGCGTGTTAACCACTGAGCCACGGGAAATTTTATCATTATTATTATTTTTTTTCAGGCGAGGAGCGTACCTACTTACCTACCTAGGTTTCGTGGGCCGAACGATTTTATCGCACGGTCTGAATGAAAATAATTTTTCTTTTCTTTTCCTTCTTTCGAATTATGTGGCGTTGCGTAAAATTCAAAACAAAAGAAAAAGGGATTCGCGGCGGCCATTGTGTTTTTTTTTTTTTTTTTTTTTTTTCGTTTGATTTCCGGGGTTTACGCCGATGATGATGATGATGGCGGTGGTGGTGGTGGTGGTGGTTGCGGTTGTGGTGCGATGATGATGATGATAATGGAAAACGCAGCGAAACATCTTTTCTCTCTCTCTCTCTTTCTTTCTTTATTTTTTAACATAATGCAAAGACATATAATTAACAAGTTTGAATTTTTAGTTGTAAAATGAATTAACTTTTTTTTTTTTTTTTATGAAAACATAATAATAATAATAATGATAATAATAATAGAGTTTCGCAACGTTTTTTGTTTGTTTCTTTCTTATTTTTTAAACTAGGTCAGTTTTGTTCAGAATTTACCGAGGCGATTGTGTGTCGAACTTGCTGATAAATTTTAAATTCAAATTTGGCGCCAAAAATTAATCGAAAAAAAATTTCGCGTTGTTTTATTGTCATCATCATCATCATCATCATCATCATTATTATTACTGTTTTTCTTTGTAAAGTTAAAAGGAAATTGAAAATGTAGGTTAAATCTTTATCCTACCGGAAGTCTCGTTTTTTTTTTCAGTCTCTCGAAAATTTTTCCTGATTGATTGGTTGGTTAGTCGGTTGTTTTTATTAATCGAATGTCTTTGAATAATTTAAAGCAAATAATATCTTTGCCCCTCCCCCGTGAAAATGTGGGAGAGGGGAGAGGAAGGAGCGGAAGGGGGAAACTATTAATTTTAAATCGTTAAAAAAAAAAAATATTTATGAGTGACCCGTAAGTTAAATGTTGAAAACAAAGTAAGAAAGTGTTACGCGATTGGCAATAGAGTAGGATTATCGGTCGTCGTCGATAAATTTCGTGACTGAATAAAATACGATAATAATAATAATAATAATGGTAATGATGATAATGATAAGAATAAAATGGAAAAAGTAAAAGGAATTATTCGAAATTAGACAACGTAAAAAATAAAATCTGAAAGACTCAAATGGGCGTCTCTCAGAGTCGCGGTGAGACCTACTTGACAAGGCTGGACGCAGGACTTTGGGGTTAATGGGTCACCGTTTCGAATTAATGACGAAGAGAAGAGAGAGAGAGAGAGAGGGAAAGAGGTGAAAGGGCAAAGGGATTATATGGAAAAAGATTCGAAAAAAAAAAAAAAAAATGAATATGGACGTCTGGATCCGGACGTGTGTGTGTGTACCCGCGATTCTCGAATTTTCCGACAAAGGGGGGGGGTCTTAGAGTTTAGGGAGAAAAAAAAAACATTCTAAACGATTTGTCCCCCGCGTAAATACCTTTAAATTTTCAAGGTATCGCGCGCGCGCGACTTTCGTCATTTTACTTAATTATTATGTTGCAAACCCACATAGTTACGCGATCAATTACGCGGCGTTGTCTTACGTTGCGTCACGTACGCGTTGCGAGAAGAAGAAGAAGGAGGAGGAGGAGGAGGAGGATCGTTTCGATTCGAAAGGTAAACCCTAAAACGAAGAGAGAGTGATACAGAAGGATGGGTTCAAAAAGGTAAAATGACGAGAAGCACACATCTACTCTGACATTCGACATTTTATAAACGAGAAAAAGGTTGTTCGAAATCGAGTCGTGCCCGCCCCCCCTCTCTCTCTCTCTCTCTCTCTCTCACGAATCGTGTGTCGATTTTTTCTGTTCTATTGCCAACAACGTAAACTTTCAAACTTTGTGGAAAAACGAGTTTTGGGTTGTGACTCGACTCGTCGTATCCGTTTGTCGTATAACCGTAACTAACTAACAACAAACACAACGTACAACCACCGCAACTACCGTTCACGTATACACTTATAAGTATCATTATTATCATTATCATCACTGTTATTTTATTTTTGTGAATTTTGTATGTTTGTATTATTATTATTATTTTTTTTTTTTCGTGTGTGTGTTTTTCCGATTTCTTTGACCTCGTCATTATTCAATTTTTTTTTTTTTTTTTTTATATTAATTTATTTAAATTGGATTTACCCTCGCATACCTATCCGCGTACCTCTCACCTTGCCCCTCCCCCCTCCCCGAAAATCATACGAAGAGTGGGGGGGAGGGAAATGGTCAGAAAATCGCGTTTGTCGTTTCCGTTTCCGCAGTTAAAATTTCAAGTTTTTTTTTTTTTTTTTTTTTTTTTTGCGCGAGACCGCGATCGTTCGCTCGATGTGTGAGGGCATAATAATTTATTATTATTATTATTATTATTATTATTATTATTATTATTATTATTATTATTCCTTTTGTCAAACGAGTTTATGTTTGTTCAGCTGTTCAGTAGCAGCTTTTCGTTTTTTTTTTAATTTTTTTTTGTTCCGATGTTGTTTGTAATGGTGTTGTTTGATTTCCGCCATTTAAAAAGTCGTCATGTTTTTTTTTTTTTTTTTTTTTGTATTCTCATTCGTCTGAACAACAACAAACAACAACAAAGGTTGTTTGTTGTCTATCTATCTATCTATTCAGGTCGATTTTTGTTATTTCATCTCTTTTGTTATTCTACTAATTATCTTTTTTCTTTTTTTGTAATTTAAATCGGCGAATAGTGTATACTTACTTTCAATTTCAAGAGTGTTTTGTTCAGGTGAAGGACTTTTTTCATTTTGTTTTTCCCTTTCAGGTTTCCTTTGGTTTCGTGTTCGTGACTTTGTTTTTAAAAATGTTGTTGTCGATTCGAATGTGTGCGTGCGTGCGCGTGCACGTGTATTTTTGAATCTTTAAAACGTTTTAATCGTTTCCGACTTCAACATATTATCATCATTATCATTACTCGACTTTAAATAATTTTGACCGATTTGAAATCCGATGAACGATGAACAGAACAAAACAAGCGGAAAATTGCTTTCCCGCCCCCCCCTCCCTCCCGAACCGGATGTCTAACATTAAATGGCGTTAGGTAAGGCGAGAGAG